GGGTGCTTCAAATGCTTAGTAGCAAAGACTAAATAAATGTCAGCTATAATTGTTATTACACTTTGAGGAGGGAGACTGTACAGCAGGTGTTGGAGAAAAAGGATTAGAGATGGGATTTTTGTTTTATTCTGTTTATTTTTTGCAGTGCTGGGGATTGAAGCCTTGCATGTGTTGGCAAGTGCTCGACTACTGAACTACATCCCAGTCCCAGATTTACTTTATTATTATTATTTTTTTAATTTTTAATTTTTTTAGTTGTAGATGTACAGAGTATATTTATTTATTTTTATGTGGTGCTGAGGATCGAACCCAGGGCCTCACACGAGAGGCAGGGGCACTGAGCTACAGCCCCAGCCCCCCAGATTTACTTTAAAAGAAATTTTTTTGGTTCATAATGGTGACATATAACATTAAGATTCATATCCTAGATTTAGTTTTGAAGTGTTGGGGAGAGAACCCAGGGCCTCATCCATGCTGGGCAAGTGTTCTATCATGAGCCAGGTCACCAGCCCAATTTTTATTTAATTAATTAATTTATTTTTTAAACATTTCTTTTCTTTTTTTTTTCTAATATCTATTTATTTTTATGTGGTGCTGAGAATCAAACCCAGGGACTCACACATGCTAGGTGGGCACTCTACCACTGAGCTACAGCCCCAGCCCCTACCAATTTTTATTTTTTACTTTATAGTCTTTTGTGCTGTTTGAACTTTTTATACCAAGAATAAATTTTTATCATAATTTTAAAATAGTTTTGGAAACTAGATTTTTTATTCATAAAATGATTTCTCCGTATTATAAATCAACTTAGAAAGGTATAAGGGGAAAGAAAACTATATAAAATTCTGTCATTCCAAGAAATCCATGTATTCTTTTCTGAAACAAAATTGTCTTTGTGTGCAAATATTTATTTAACATGTATTTATCAAGTACATATTACATATCTGAACAAAACAAGTTCCCTGCTCTCAAGAGCTTACATTCATGACGTACATATTGCAAAAGGCATGTACATTTAAAATGCTGTAAAGGACCCCTTTTTATACAGGCTACCCCAGAGGACAAAAGAAATTTTTTACATCTGTTGTTTGAGAAAATGCAAAGTGGCAAAAAAACTATGGGTTTACTAACAAATGAGTTGGTTTTCTATTCCCTACAATCTATATATCTTTCTCTTTTTGGTACTGGGGATTGAACTCAGGGGCACTCAGCCACATCCCCAGTCCTATTTTGTATTTTTTATTTAGAGACAGGTTCTCACTGAGTTGCTCAGCGCCTCACCACTGCTGAGGCTGGCTTTGAACCATGATCTACTCTTGCCTCAGCCTCCTGAGCCGCTGGGATTACAGGCATGCACCACTGAGCCCAGCTCACAACCATATTATTTTTTTGATTAAAAATAAGCAGCTGGGCATGGTGGCCTGCAATCCCAGTGGCTTGAGAGATTGAAGCAGGAGGAGAGAGAGTTCAAAGCCAGTCTCAGCAATTTAGCTAGACCCTGTCTCAAAATAAAAAGGACTATGGATTTAGCTCACTGGTACAACAATCCCTGGGTTAAATCCCCAGTACTAAAAAGAGAAAAAAAAGTTTATGTGTGTGCCAGGTGCAGTGGTGAGGAGGATCATGAATTCAAAGCCAGCCTCAGTAACGGTGAGATGCAAAGCAACTTAATGAGATCCTGTCTTTAAATAAAATCCAAAAAAAATTAGGGCTGGGGATGTGGCTCAGTGGTCAAGCACCTGAGTTCAATCCCCAGTACCCACTCCCCCCAAAAATGTGTGTATGTGAACTTTAGCAGAAAGACTAGGGGAATCATTGCTGTGAATATTTGTCATGTGTGGAGAGTGGTGACAGTGACTGGGAGACCAATGTCTGAGATTGGGGTCCCTGATGACTTCATGGCTGTGGCATACTTGGAGGCTGGGAAAGTACTATACAAAGGCATAAGACACTGGAACCTGCTAGTTTGGCGGTGCTGGCCACAGCAGCCATGGTGCTGCAGGGACCTTTCTTTAGGTGTCCTTTTCTCTTTAAGACCTGAGTTCAGAATCTGAAAATTGGCTCAGATATGAAAGTGGGCAAGAAATGCTAACTTTTTACTGGAGGCACCTGCTGTCAATTTTCTGACCTATTTCCTGTCCTTGTTCCACTAACAATCTCCATAATTCCCTGAGGGTCAGGCGTCCTTGACTGTCACTCTAACCTTCCAATTATAATCATTGCATCTATCTAGTTTCTGGCAGTAAGTACTGCCACCTGGCCTCTTATTTGAAGGCCCAATCACCCCATTGCCATTAGTGAGCCTAGCTTTGTAACAACCTCTCCTGTAGTTAGTCATGACCCACATGATAGAAACACTATCAAACTCCTAGTGATACTGGTGCACCTTTTACCAATATGTTTTCTTTATGACCTTGGTAATGGTGTATCTTCTAGGTATTTCCATGAAACAATCATTTGACGGATTTTTCTAGCCTTATATTTTTCACTTACATTCATTTCTCTAAGCTTTCTAATCATAAACAATCAGTTTTGGCAGTTCTGCCTTTTTTATTTATATTTTTTTACTTCATATGAGCTGTAGAATTTTCCATGCTTTTAATAGCCACTGTAGTAGCAATTCTGCAAATTTGGGATCCTTAGCAAGGTAATAAATGTTGTATCTCAGGAAAGTGCTTGCCTACCACATGTGAGGAACTAGGTTTGATCCTCAGCACCACATAAAAAAATAAACAAGTAAAGGGATTGTGTCCATCTATTTTTATTATTCTTTTAATTTTTAGTTGTAGTTGGATATACTATCTTTTAAATATATATATGCATGCATATATATAATTTAAGATAGGATCTCACTAAGTTGCTTAGGGCCTCACTAAATTGCTGAGGCTGGCTTTGAACTCAATCCTTCTGCCTCAGCCTCCCAAACCACTGGGATTACAGGCATGCCCCGCCATACCTGGCTGAAAAATTTGGTTATCTTGATAAGCACCCTCAGAATGCAGTCCTTGTTATTCTCCCAACTCCTGGCATTACTGCTTTGCTAGTTCTTATAGCTTTTTTGGGTATAGTTTCTTTCCTCTTTTATCAGGCCCAATATGTGTCTCACTTGGTTATAAGTATAGTGACCAGGGCAAAGGGTAAAGGCAGATTTGCTGTGTATGGGGGCTGTACATGCAATTTGCAGGAGACAGGCCTGTCTACAAGAAAGACAAGCACCAGATGTGATGGTCCACAACTGTAATCCCAGATATTCTGGAGGCTGAGGCAGGAGTATTGCAAGTTTAATGCCAGCCTGGGCAACTTTTCCAGACCCTTTTCTACATAAAAAAATGTCTGAGGATATAACTCAGTGGTAGAATGCTTGCCTAGCATAGGTTCCATCCCTAGGACAACAAAAAGGAAAAATGAGGGACCTGAGAATGTACTCACTTGGAGAATGTTTGCCTAACCATTTGTTCAATTCCTAATACTGGTGGGGGAAGGAGACCTCTTCAGGAGCATTAACCAACTACTCCTATCCCAAATTCCATTATTTCCCAGATAATGCCCTGGCCTTCATTTAACAGATCTGCCTTGCAAGTTCAACCTTATTGGAAATCAGGCTACTCTGATGATTATCCTGGACTTCCACTTTCTGCTTCCTGGCTACCATGAGCTGAATAACTTTCCTCTGCCATGCTCTTCCTCCATGATATTCTGCCTTATCTCAGGTCCACAGCAATGGAATTGACTGACCATGAACTGATCTTCTCAAATTTCTTTTGCATATTGGAAATGATAAGACACCAAGGACCAAGATCAGGAGAAACTATGAGGAAAAAGGGATTCAAGTCACTGTCCTGCCTGCACTTAACTTTGAAAAAGGACTCCCAGAGGGTTTCAAGCAATCAAATATAGGTTACCAAGAAGAGGGACTTCACGTATAGGACAATGAGATAAAAATTTAAGATAGAAAGAGTCATGAGTAGTCCATTGGTATGTTGCCAAATTTGGGGGGCAGGGCAGGACAACATCGAGGTCTATATTCAGAATTAAATCATATGGCCAAGAGTGGAGAAATGGTTTCTCTAATAATATTTGAGGTTACTTTACTACCAGGAGAGAAAATGCTACTTAGCAATCAATAGTGGAGTCTCATTGTAAGAGCCATGCTCCTGCAAATCTAAAACCATGGACCACAATCATTTGCTGGGCATTTACCTGAAAAAAAGGCTTATAATTGTAAATATGTATCCTTCATAGCACAGAAGCATCTCTCAAGGACTTGAGAGTCATTTCTCAGGAATGTAACCATCAAAAGAATAAGACTTCAGTCTCCAAGACTCCATGAGAAGACAGTATTCTAACTTTGATAATTACCTGCCAACAAACACAGCTGGCCTAATCTCACTTATACTAAACAATGCTTTGTACTTTCTACTTCTCTGATTCTGAGCTCCAATCTTCCCCCTTAGTTACTTGCTTTTAGTTTTATAAAAATCACTAGTTTTGGAGGTCACACATCTGAGCTATATATTATTAGTTATAATGATAAAAAGTTCAAAGCCAGCCTTAGCAACTTAGAAAGATCCTGTCTTGGATGCTAACCCACAACAAGGGAAGGGAAGATTAGAAGTTCATTGGACTAGACAAAGGGGAATGAAGGGAAGGGAAGGGGAATGGTAATAGGAAAGACAGTAGGATGAGTCAGACATATCTTTCCTATCCTCATATATAAATAAAGGACCAATGTTAACTCCACATCATATACAACCACAATAATGGGATCCTAATTGGAACAAGTTATACTTATTCTATGTTTGTATAATATTTCAAAATATACTCTACTGTATATTTTGTATATAAAAAAAGAATAATAAAAAGAGGAATATCACACATACACACAAAAATCCTGTCTTAAAGAATAAGAATGGCTAGGGATGTGGCCCAATTGTAGAGCACCCCTGGTTTCCATCTCCCATACCACAAAAATAAGAGGAGAAGGAGGAGGAGACAGAATTGTGCTTGCTTTGGCAGCACATATACTAAAATTGGAATAAAACAGAGATTAGCACAGCCCCTGTGCAAAGATGACATGCAAATTCATGAAGCGTTTCATTAAGAAGAAGCGTGGCTGGGTACACTGGTGCATGCCTGTATTCTCTGGGTTGGGAGGCTGAGGCAGGAGGATTGCAAGTTCAAAGTCAGACTCAGCAACTCAGTGAGTACCTGTTGCTAAATAAAATACAAAAAAGGGCTGGGTAACGTGACTCAGTAGTTAAGTGCTCCTGGTTCAATCCCCTGTACCAAGGTGGGGGAGGGGGAGAAGATGGTATGGTAAGTGCTGAAGTCAAAGACAAATCTGTGTGTGAGTTTGATCAGTAAGGAATTATGCTAACTGGAATTTTTCCAGTTCTGCAGATATAATGCCTTTCATAATTTCATGCTTTTGTGCTCACATGATTCCTCACCTGGATTGCTTTTCCCCTTGTCCTTCAATGCTCAGCTCATGTTCATCTAGGAAATGCTCCCTGACTCAGATGAGCAGATAAAGTACAAAGTAGTACACAATGAGCTCGTATCCCATAGAGAGCAGGTACACGTGGTATGAATCCCTGATCTACCACTTCACCAGTTTCAACAAGCTTGTGACCAGAAAGTTACTTAAGAACTCTAATATTTAATTTCCTAACTGGTGTCATATCAGTACCCATTTCATGGCATTGTCGTGAAGATTAAAAGAAAATGCCCAAAGAGTGCAAAGCCTAGTAACTGGCCTGTAAGTGCTCGTTACACTATTCACTGGGCCTGACTTGTACTCTAGTACCTCTCTCTTCTATAGTTCTTTTTTTTAATATTTATTTTTTTAGTTGTAGGTGTACCCAATACCTTTATTTATTTTTATGTGGTGCTGCGGATTGAACCCAGGGTGTGCACTTGCTAGGCGAGTGCTCTACTGCTGAGCCACAATCCCAGCCCCTCTTCTATAGTTCTTTTCACATGCTGCAATTATTTGCTTATACTAGATTGTGTGTTCATTGAGCACTATCCCAGAGTTTAACAATAACAATTAGCTTTATTGAACACTTACAAAAGTTTCTAAAAGGACTAAGGATGTAGCTCACTTGTCCAGCATGTGCAAGATTCTGGGTTTCTTTAAAAAAAAAAACCCACAGATTATGCTATACATTTTTTAAAATATTTATTTTTTAGAAGTAGTTGGACACAATACCTTTATTTTATTTATTTATTTTTATGTGGTGCTGAGTATTAAAACCAGGACCTTGTACATGCTAGACAAGTGCTCTACCACTAAGCCACAACCCCAACTACATTAAGGTGCTGCTACTTTTTTTTTTTTTTTTTTGGTATTGAGGATTGAACCTAGGAAGGGCTTTGTTGCCATCATGGTCTTCCTTCCCTCCACTAATTATGACATGTATTACTTTCATTATCATTACTTTTTTTGTGTGTCTGATGGTGGGGATTGAACCCAGGCCCTTGTGCATGCTAGATACACACTCTTTAACTGAGCTACATGCTAGTATTATTATTCAATTCTATATCATTTATAATGTAAACAAAATTTCCTTTTTACCACAAATAAGCTACAGCTCAGGCTGCTGTCAGTAACTTTTATTGGTCAGCATCTATTTTCTACTGGAGAAACTGTACCCCAAGCTGTTACTGGATCAGGTCCAAGGAGGTCCCCAGAAGGGAGTAGAAACCTCCAGTCAGCTCTGGTAAACTTTGTTTGCTTTTATTTATTTATTTATTTTTTTGGTACCAGGGATTGAACCCAAGGGTGTTTTAACTACTGAGCCACACCCCCCAGCCCTTTTTATTTCTTATTTTGAGACAGGGTCTCTCTAAATTGCCCAGGTGGGCCTTGGAACTTTCAAACCTCCTGCCTTGGCCTCTGAAACAGTTGGAATTACAGACATATGTTACTGCATCCAACACATTATTTCTTCTGGATTTGAAAAAGTTTATTCCCTTCAGGCCTCCCTTTCCACACTATGGTAAATATTCATGGAGTTGGGACTGGGGATATAGCTCAATTGGTAGAGTTCTTGCCTCCTGTGTACAAGGCCCTGGGTTCAATCCTATCAGCAAAACACACACACACACACACACACACACAATTATTCATGGAGATTCCTATATATAAGGGAAAAAACTAACAACCAATGATAGAGTAATGCAAATCAAAGCCACAATAAGGCACCACTTCACACCAATTTGAATAACTATTAGAAACAACAACAAAAAGAAACGTTGGGGTGATGTGGAGAAATTTGAACCATTATGCATTGTTGATAGAAATATAAAATTGTACAGCCACTGTAGAAAATGGTATGGCAGTTACTAAAAAATTGAAAAGAGTTACCTAATGATCCAGCCATTCCACTTCTGGACACATACCAAAAAGAAATAAAACCAGAGACTTGGAAAAACAAAAACAAAACGATTTAGGAATAAACTTAACCAAGAAGACAAAAGAAATATTTGTACATTGGAAATTATAAAATACTAATGAGCTGCCTGTGGTGGCCCACACTTGTAATCCCAGCCACTACTGAGGCTGAGGAAGGAGGATTACAAGATCAAAACCAGCCTCAGCAATTTATTGAGGCCCTGAGCAACTTAATGAGACCTAGTCTCAAAATAAAAAATAAAAAGGGGTGGGGATGTAGCTCAGTGGTTAAGTGCCATGGATTCAATATCCTGGTACCAAAAAATGAAACACTAATGAAAGAAATTCAAGAAGACACAAATAAATGTAAAGATATCTCATATTCAAGGATTAGAAGAATTTATATTGTTAAAATGTATCAAGGGCTGGGGTTGTGGTTCAGTGGTAGAGCACTTGTCCAACACCTGTGAGGCACTGGGTTGGATTCTCAGCACTACATGTAAATAAATAAAAATAAAGGTCCATTGACAACTAAAAAAAATTTTTTAAATGTATCAAAATATCACATTGAATCCTACACATATGTACAATTATTATATTTCAGTTACAAATAAAAAGCCCATACTACTCAAGCCTATCTACAGATTCAATGCAATCTCTATAAAATTCCAATATTTCATATAAATAAAAAAGAAAATCCTAAAAATTTTATAAAACCACAAATAGCCCCGTGCAGTGGCACATACCTGTAATCCCAGCAGCTTAGGAGGCTGAGGCAGGAGGATGGTGAGTTCAAAGCCAGCCTCAGCAATTTAGTGAGGGCTTAAGCAACTCAGTGAGACCCAGTCTCTAAATATAATATAAAAAGGCTGGGGACAGTGGTTATGTACTCCCGGGTTCAATGCTTGGTACAAAAACAAACAAACATAAAGACCACCCCCCAAAAAACTTGTCTTCCATTTATTCCACTTTTTCCCCTCTATGTACCAAGGATGGAATACAGGGATGCTTTACCACTGAGCTGCATCCTAAGCCCTTTTTATTTATTATTTATTTATTTATTTTGAGGAGGTACTGGAGATTGAACTCAGGGGCACTCCACCACTGAGCCACATCCTCCGCCCTATTTTGTATTTTATTTAGAGACAGGGTCTCACTGAGTTGCTTAGCATCTTGCTTTTTGCAGAGGCAGGCTTTGAACTCATGATCCTCCTGTCTCAGCCTCCCAAGCCACTAGGATTACAAACATGTGTCACTTCACCTGGCCCTTTTCATTTTTTACTTAGAAATAGGGTCTTGCAAGTCTTGCAATAGCCAATCTCAAAAAAACAAATGCCGAATGTTTTCTCTGATATAAGGAGGCTGACTCATAGTGGAGTAGGGAGGGGGAACATAGGAGGAATAGATGAATTCTAGATAGGGAAGAGGGGAGGGAGGGAAAGGGAGGAGGCAGGGGAGTAGCAAGGATGGTGGAATGTGATGGACATCATTATCCAAAGTACATGTATGAAGATACGAATTGGGTGTCAACCTACTTTATATATAATTATTATTATATATAAACAGAGATATGAAAAATTGTGGTATATATGTGTAATAAGAATTGTAATGCAAAACCAAACAAACAAAAAACAAAGTACATGGGCTGGGGATGTGGCTCAAGTGGTAGCGCGCTCGCCTGGCGTGCGTGCGGCCCGGGTTCGATCCTCAGCACCACATACAAACAAAGATGTTGTGTCCGCCGAAAACTAAAAAAATAAAATAAATATTTTTTAAAAAAGATTCTCTCTCTCTCCCTCCTCTCTCTCTCTCTCTTTAAAAAAAAAGTACATGTATAAAGACATGAATTGGCATGAACATACTTTATATACAAAGATATGAAAAATTGTGCTCTATATATGTAATAAGAATTGTAATGCATTCCTCTGTCTTGTATTTAAAAGAAAATAAAATCAATTAAATAAAAAAATAAAGGTAAAAAATTAAAAATAAATAAATAAATAAAGAAATAGGGTCTTGCTAAGTTGCTTAGGGTCTTGCTAAATTGATGAAACTGGTGTGGAATTGTGATCCTCCTGCTTCAGTCTCCAGAGTCACTGGGAGAACAGCTGTGTATCACACTACCCTGTTTATCCATGCTACTTCTAAAAGCATCTTGTCATCCACAAATGACCCTAATCCTTAACAATATATTCAAGTTTAACCATTGATTGTAAGTGGTAAAAATCTAAATAATTAAGTAAAATAAATGTGTTGGTGTTTAGAAGTTAAGGGAAGATCAAATGGCTGAGCTATGTGGGGTGGCATAAATAGAATTGAACCTCAGGAATAACTCAAATAGACGACATGAATACTAATTGGAATTTTCACTTATCCTTCAAACTCTGCCTTTATCAGCATCTAGATTTTATTTTCTCCTGCTGCAAACCAATTTCCTTCACAATATTAGCAAGTAGTTAAGAAGCTCAGCAGGAGCCAGCAGGGTCAAAAAGACTTTTTTTTTTTTCTATTCAGACCTGTGCAATTTCTTTATTGAGACTAACATATACAAACCTGAGTAGTCACTTTCACAAAACGTGATTTGTGCCAGAAAGCTTGTGTAATGCCTTCTAGATCACAGCCCGACAAGCCTGTGAAGATGTTCATTTGTCTTCTAATGAGTAAAGCACTCTAGTGATCCCAATTCCTGATACTGGTTTGCAGCTATCTTGTAGGGCTGGAGGCAAATCAGGAAGGGACACCATTTTCCCAAGGCCAAGATTTGGGCCACCAGAGTGAAAGGAGCCTGTCGTCTCGGTTGAAGCTTCCGGTGGGCCACAGGAGAGCACTCTGTCCCCAAACTAAGAAACGAACAATAAGGAGGACAGGTACAACTACACTCTCTGAGGTTGACTGGAAAGAAGATCTTTAGTTGTGAATGGCCAGTCAGCCACCATGGAAACAGTTATTGACATATGACAAGTTGAAGCCTTTCCTACCCTCTTCTCCAGCTCCCCAAAGCATTGAGTGTGACATGATTGTAAACAGACAGAGACCACTCCAGTGCTGTGAGCCCACCAGTTAGGACTTCCATTTCTTTCACATTCCCACCCACCCTACCCACTTTATGTACAATACATTCACCAACAAAAATTATTTTAAAAGGCAACATGAAAATTGTGTAAACTGGACCCAGCTCTGAAAACATTAATACTACAAGTAGTCCCTTCCTCAATATATACCTGAGATTAGCTGCTCACGAAAGTTTAAAAGCACCACTCTGTTATTTTGTATGCCCCCCACCCAAGTTTAAAGTGATTTTCCCTGAAGGACAGTCTCAGAATTTGGAGAAGTCAGCATGAACTCCAGGTTCACTTGATCTTCCTGACTGTCAGTCAGCTGTGCAAGTGATCCCTGACCCAGCACCTCTGCAAGCTCTGTGTCAGTCGTCTATGGAGTGAGTATGCTTCTAAGGCCCAGGAATGGCTCCAGCTCTTGGTGGCAAGGTGTAATTCACTGTGAAGGGGCACAGCAGGGTGACTGGGATAGAGATGGGCAAGGATCATTTCCCCAAATCCTCCATGTTCTGTCTTCATGTGCAGCTTTTCACTTCCTTGGGGGCAATTTCCTCCTAGGACTAGCTCTGATCCAGAGGAAGTGTTGGGGGCTTATGTGGTGGCAGCTGTTCTGGTGATGCTGCTGGTGCTGGGGTCTTTGGGAATAAGGACTGCGACTGGATTGGATGTATGTGCATTCCTGATGGTCTGTACATTTCCTGGAAGGATCCTCTTATTCCACTTCCAGTGCCAATCTGTTCCATCATTACTGCTTGAAAGTGGCCCAGGCCCTCTTCCTGGCAGCGATAGAGAGAACCCTCTTGAGAGAGGCCATTAGGCTGGGCAGGCCCTGGATGGTGGGGTGGGTGAGCACCCACAGGAGAATATGGCCTGGGTTGAAAATGACTGGTTGGCCGCTGTGGTGTATAAGAAGGCCCCGTTTGTAGCATCACACCATGAGGTGGGAAAGGAGGTGAACCAAATCCCATCCCTGAACTCAGAGGTGTAGGAGGAGTTCCATAAATATATTCGTTGGCTGACAAAGAACTCTGTAGCTTGGTAGCTGCATTATGGTTGTCCAGATCTAAAAACTCTTTGGGACTCTCTGGCCTCTCCATAGATTCATCAAGCTTTTCTTCCTCTGGACCAGGATTCTGTCTGTCAGGTGGGACAACTTTAGCAGCCACTGCATCCATTCGAGTTGGGGAAGTTAAGGCAGCACTCAGTGTCTCACAGCTTTGCAGATCAGCCATGGAATTTTTATCTGAGAAAAGGGGCCATGGGTGAGGGGCATGACTTGCTGGGGGGCCACCTGGGTTTCCCTGAGGGTGGAGAGGTCTCTGCCAATCAGAAAAGCCCTGTAGACAAGTGTAATAAGGAGTTCGCTGGTAATGATGGTAGGAAGGCTGTGGAGGTGGTGGTTGGTAGGAATACCTCATTCCCTGGGGAGGGCGATATCGGGGAAAGATCCCAGGGTGAGGATTGTTAGACTGAAAGGCCCTGGGAGAGAAATGCTGAGGATGCGATACCGAGGATTTCCCCCCCATCATAGGGCCCAAGGCTTGCAGGCTTGGACTGATGTGGTAATGTGCAGCTGAATTAGAGTATTCTAGGCCAGGCATGTACAAGGGAGAAAACTGGCTTACAGGGCTTGTCATTAAACTGGGGTCTGCACATGGAGGTGTAGTTGCATTCTGTCCTGTGCAGGGCATGGTCTCCTGCAATGTTTTGCCTCTGGAGCAGAGTGGTTTTTCTGAATCATTGCCACCAAGGCCCTTCCCCTCTGATCCACAAGGAGATGCTTCACCAATGACTCCATTTTCAGGAAGAACGCCTCTGTCGGCCATTGTGGAGAGGTCTCTCATACAGCCTTGGGCAGCTGGGCTGGTATAGCTGCTGTCTGAGGTCCAGGTATTCTTGCCCTTTGCTGTTTTACAGTTGTCTGCAGATTCCAATGTGTCATTTTTGAGCTCTGTGGCCTCTGTTTCCCTTTCTCTTGGTGAGCTCTGCCTGGTGCAGTCGGCCTGCAGGGGAGGTGTAGGTTGAGGTAGCTGTTTGAGGTATACCCCCTCTGAAGCACCAACGCTTGCTGGTTTCTCTTCAAGTCCAGGCAAAGCTTCTCCTCGGTCATTCTCAGGCTTTTGTGTTTCATTGTTATCCTGTATCCTCCCAGGGTTGCCCAAGGCAGGTTTGGGGGCTGACAAGCTTACTGATGCTGAATGAGCTACCTGTGGAAAAGGGCCAGGTACTTGGGAGGGAGTGGGTTGACAGGGGTTGTAAGGCACACCTGGTGGGCAGACACGGGAGGACAGCTGCTGCATGGCGATCATCTCAGGGCTGTCCATCATAGAGTCCCCTCCTTGCATCCCACGCAGGGTCTGGGAGGGCCCTCCAAATAGAGAACTTGGTGCTGGGGTTGGAGGTGGCTGCAACCTATGACCAGTGGACTTACAAGGTGGTCGCATATATCCTGAAGAAGGAACACCATGAGGTAGAAAGCTTGATTGCTTAGTCCACTGGTTTTGGGGTATAGATGGTCTCATTACTCGGGAATCCATCATGTGACCAAGAGCGTGAGGCTGGTGAGCGGGTCCTGGCCCGAGGTGGGGCTTCTCATCTGGCCCCAAAGGTCCTAGATTTGTAGTACCATGATTCCCATTCCAGACGGTAGAGTGTACGTGATTCAGGTACTTGTAGGATCGATACATGTGACTGGGAGGAATTTCTGAACTCTCAGCAAAGTCTGCTGGTCGGGTTGGAGCCCCACCATGCCTGGGAGGAATAAATCCTGGCTGGAATGAAGCTGGGGGATACATGTTTCCATCCTGACCAGGGCCACTCATCTGTCCAAGCTGCAAGGAGGCGGGATGTGATCCCATGTTAGAAAGGTGTGTTAGCCCCCCACACATCTGCTTATCTTCTGGAGTGCCAAGCTGGGGTCCTCGGTGGTTACTAATTCCAACTGGAGGCTGCATGGAAAAAGCCTGATGCTGCTGCATGGGCTCTCCTGGGTGTGCTTCTGGGACTCGAGAGGGACCATAGAAGGTGTTGGGCTCTGATCCTTGAAGAGGGCCAAATGCTCCTGGTACTGCTGGCCTCATTTGGTTTAAAAGAGGTGCCTGGCTGGGCATTCCACCACAGTGCAGAGGGCGGGAAAAACCTCGGCCATTTGAAGTGCCCACTTCTCGAGGGGGCTGAGTAGAACTGCTGCTCTGATCATCCCCTGAAGAAGAAGCTCGGCGTGCAGGGGGCAATGATTTTCCTCCATTTTCCATGGGCTGCTGCTTCCTGCTGGGCCCTTCAGAGTCCCTAGAGCGGGTCCAATATGGCTTCCACTATTATGACCAGACCGACTCCGTCTCTTCTCCCGCTTTTCATCCTCTCGGATCCAAAATTCTTCATCCGTGTCTCCATCTTCTCCAGGAAAATGTTTCATCATTGCCCGATGGAAACACCTCTCTAAATTATCAGACATCTTGGTATACTCACTATTCTCCCCATTATATTTTCGACAATTCCTGAACATTGTCTTCATGTCATTTACAAATTCATCCTTGGTACAGTATAAACCTCCATTCAATTTCTTCTCCATGCTTGAAATATCCATGGGGATCTTTATAATCTGATAATAATTAGGAGCATAAGATTCATCCACGGGTTCCAAAAATGGCCAGGAATCCTTGTGAGCCTTTACCACATCTAGAACTTTATACATGGCAGTGAAGTCATCATCCAACTCAAAGAGATCCTTTGTCTTTTTTCCTTCCCTCATGGGAGAATTAGGGTCCAGATGGGAAAGTTCTGGGGGTAGCTCCTTGCCTTGAGCCAGCAGCCATGCCCTTTCTTCCCTGAGTTTTCTCCTCTTGGCTTGATCTTCCACTGCCTTGACCTTCTCCTCCAATTCCCGCTTCCTTTCCTCTTTCAACATCTGCTTCAAAAAGACTTTTAAAAAAATGTCTAGTTCAGAAAATTCTCAAGAAAACTAGATTAGCCCAGTGCAAATCAGGTATCTACCATTGAATCAATCAGCTGAAATGTGGAAGGTCATGTAAACATAGGAGACCAAGTGGTTGGAATGGAGAAGAAGAATAAAGTTGAGCAGAGAAAGAAAGTGTAAGTGAATGGCAACAAATGACAAGCGACAGGAGGCAGGAAGGAAATCTCAGATCAGCAAGCTTTCAAGTCAATGGGTCAGGCATGGCAGGGCTCATTTTCTGGGTATGGAGATGGCCCCTGGGGTCACAGAAGGAGTCTGGGTTTTTAGTTTACAATGAGGGTGAATTAATCATTGGAGACTGTGGACGTGCTGTTCGAATAGTCAGGGACCTAATTGTGCAGGTTAAAATTTTAACTCAGGAAGACAGTTGTAAAAAGTTTGAAATTCATTGTCACTGGGAAAAGCTCACAACTTGGTGTTCATTGCTGTCTTCCTTCCTCTGGGATCCATTGTTACCTATTTGCTTTTTTCCTTCCAGGACTCATCTGCAGTGGGGAAAGGGTACTGTTTCACTATTCACCTCCTCCCTTTTTGGTTGGGAAGGGGCAAATGTTTGCTTTGATGGAGATGCTGGAGATGAAACTGGGAAGGGATGAAAGTTTGCTTTTTCCCTCGGGTCCCATTGTTACTGGGAAAGGATGTACTGGGAGAGGTTTAATTTTGGGGTCAATTTCTTCTCCCTCCTCCCAAATCACACCGTCCATTTTTCCCACTGTCTTTCTGTTTTTCCTGGGGAATTTTCTTGTAGGAATATTATTTTCTATAACTCTCAGAAAGAGGAGCAGAGAAAACCTTAACTTCACTAAGAGGAGTACTGAGTGTGGTTTAGGCAGATAGTTGGTATGAGAAATTAAAGATAAGTATAAATAGGATAGATGGAGTAGGAGATCATGGAAGGCTTAGAATTTATGCAATGGCATATCTAGATGCCAAAATGAATATGGTATTTAGCTTTGGATGCCACATTTTATTTTACTTATTTTTTGGTGCTGATGATTGAACCTAGGGGTGCTTTACCACTGAATTACATCCCCACTCCTTTTGGTTTTTTGAGACAGGGTCTTGTTAAGTTGCATAGGGTCTCACTAAGTTGCTGAGGTTTCACTTTGAACTTGGGATCCTCCTGCCTCAGCCTCCTGAGTCACTGGGATTACAGTTGTGTGCCACTACACCTGGCTATGTATAATATTAAAAAAATGGAAACAGACATGTCCAATGTCCAGATTAGGACAATCTGTTGATTATAGGCTGTGTAAAGGCAATGACTATTGGATATCACTGGGTTTGAAAGGAAGGATTGAGAGAGCAAAGAAAGGAAAGAGGACTCAAGAGGATTTGGGGTGTGTGAGTGAAGGTTTTGGACAGGAGCTAATATTAGCCAATGATTTCCAGCTTGGAAGCATGTGGGGAATTATAGAAATATGGACAATAAAAGGAGGAGTTAATACGTGAAAATGTGGTACATTCAGCTTTAGACATTTTTGAGATGCTGGTAGTGTATCCCACACCTGGAATTGCTACAACAGTTATAAATGAATGCTGGGGTTTAGGAAACAAGTTTATTAAATTGTCTGTATATAACTCGTATTTGAAGCTGCAAAAGAAGGTATAGGCCCAGCATGGTGGTGCAAGTCTGTAATCCCAGTGATTTGGGAGACTGAGGCAGGAGGATTGCAAGTTCAAAGCCAGCCTCATCAATTTTGCGAGTCCCTAGGCAAATTAGCAAGACCCTGTCTCAAAATAAAAAATAAAAAAGGCTGGGGATATAGCTCAGGGGGAGCTACGCCTGGGTTCAATAAAAAAGAAAGAAAAAGGAAAAAATATATATATAATGGAAGTATGAAAGTCCAGTTAAGTGGGTGACCCCACTGAGTGAGATTGGGGAAGGGCTGCCTAACATTTGCGTGGAGGTCTCTAAGGGGGCAGAACCAACAGAAATAGCTTTCTGAGGTCACAGGCAGTTCTTGGGAGATTGGGGGAAGATGAGGCCCTAAGGCACCTAGGCGCCTGAGGAATGAACGAGAGCAATAATTAGCTCCTATTCGAAAGATACAGGAGGAGTTGGCAGCCTAAGAGCGGGATGCAGGAAGGAGAAGCGAAAAACTTCCCTAAATTCTCCCCTCTCTCACAAAGGGCAGAAAAGATCAGGAAGAGTGAAAGCCGGGCTTTCCGGGGACAGGAATACAAGACTTTGGATGGTCCTGTTGCGGGACCTTTGCTACTCTGCCTGGAACTCTAGTGTTTAAACACCTAGTTTGCCTCCGGAAGGAAAAAGCAGATGGACCGTCACAGGAATAGTGGAGAACCCGGCAGGAAAATGTGGAGGACCCGGGCGGAAACCTTGCTTAGTCTAGTGGAAGGTGAGCAGTCGCTGAACAGCAGTTGGAACTTTGGGGCAGGGGAGAGCGACGCACCCCTTGCAGGTGAGGACTGAGGGAGGCTGCTGCAATACCGAAAGCTTTCCGTGGCTGGGCTATATCGGGCCCGGGTCGGGAGCTAAACGTCTGGACTTCAAAGTTAGTTTTGCCGCTAACTGTGTGACCTAGGTTAATTTAGTCTTGGAACCTCGTGTCTGTAATTGGAATAACGATAGTACTTCAGAGTTGTGAAGAGTGAATGAAAAAACAGGACAGTTTCTGGCAGGTAGTAAGTACGCTCTGGTTTTTACTGATGTTAACTTACTTCCAGCAGCGTGGATTCCGTTGTCAAACTCAACCTCGGCCTGGCGTCGTCCAGCTACTAGGTTTGACTTTATAGATGAAAATACAAAGGGCAAACAGTGCCGGGCACGTTGACACTCGCCTGTAATTCCAGCTACTTGGGAGACTGGGCTGGAAGGATCACTTGCACCCAGGAATTTGAAACCAGCCTGCTCAACATAGCAAGACCCCTTCTTAAAAATAACAGCCAGGCGTGGTGGCGCATGCTTGTAATCCCAGCGACTGGAGAGGCTGATGGAGGAGGATGGCATGTTCGAGGCCAGCAATTTAGCGAGCCTCTATCTCAAAATAAAAAATAAAAAGGGCTGGGGATGTATCTCAGTGGTAGAGCGCTACTGGGTTCAATTTCCCCGTGCTGACAAAAGATCCCCACAAAACATTTGTAACTAAAGTTATACTATTATTGGAGAAGTAACAACTGAAGGTTTGGAAAACAGGGTAAATAATGTTACACAATTCCATCATCCTACATAATATTTTAAGCCTTCCCCCCAATATTTCTTGTCTGTGGATTTTTATATGTGAAATATTAGGGTATATGCAATTTTGGTTCCTTTTAATTTGCAACAGTATTGTAGCCTGAGCATGGGGTTCAGAAGAATAATTTTAATAATAATAATATTGTAATAATATTAATCTTATTGTATTGTGTTGTTAGTTATAATATTATTGTACTGGAGATTGAGCCTAGGACACTCTACCACTGAGCTCCATCTCCAGCCCTTTTTATTTTTATATTTTATTTTTTGGATTGAACCCAGGGTAGCTTAATCAGTGAGCCACATTCCCAGCCCTTTTTCGTGTTTTCTTTAGAGACAGGGTCTCACTGAGGTGCTTAGGGCCTCATAAGATGCTGATGCTGGCTTTCAACTCAGTGATCCTCCTGCCTCAGCCTTCTGAGCTGCTGGTATTACAGACGTGCACCACTGCACCCTGATTGATTGATTGATTGATTGTACCTGGGATTGGACTCAGGGCTACTCAACCACTGAGCCACATCCCCAGCCATATTTTGAACCTTATTAGGATTTTACTGAGTTGCTTAGCATCTCACTGTTGCTGAGACTGGCTTTGAACTCTGGATCTTCCTGCCTCAGCCTCCTGAGCTTCTGGGATTATAGGCCACACCTAGTTTAAAAGAATCGTTTTTCTGATTGTATAAAAATTCCATTTTATGGGGCTTATCATTTGTTTTTATAAATTTCTGAATATGTAAGGTAAAATCATGCATATATGACCAATGAGGGGGGCTGGGATTGTGGCTCAGCGGGGGAGTGCTTGCCTAGCACCGCCGGGATCTGGATTCGATTTTCAGCACCACATTAAAAAAAAAATAATAAAGACATTGTGTAGTGTCCATCTACACCTAAAAAATAAATATTAAAAAAAAAAAAAACTATGGGGCTGGGGATGTGGCTCAAGCGGTAGCGCGCTCGCCTGGCATGATTGTGACCCGGGTTCGATCCTCAGCACCACATACAGACAAAGATGTTGTGTCCGGCGAAAACTAAGAAAAATAAATATTAAAAAAAAAAATTCTCTCTCTCTCCCTTTCTCTCTGTCTCTCGCTCTCAAAAAAAAAAAAAAGTATGACCAATGAGGGAACTTTATTACTCATTATTTCAGGATCTCAGATCAATTTTTTTTTAATATTTATTTTTTTTTGGTTGTAGATGGACACAATACCTTTATTTTATTTATTTTTATGTGGTTCTGAGGATCAAACCCAGGGCCTCCCACATGCTAGGCGAGCACTCTACCACTGAGCCACAATTCCTCTTTTTATTTTTATTGGTTCCCTTATGCTTTTAGTTTATGTGAAAAAATTCGGTATATGGTTTTCATTTATTCCACAAACATTACTGTTCCAGCCACAGTCTCTAAAGTTAAGTTAAAAACAAACAAAAAAACAAGATTGTAATGTTATGTGAAAGCTATGAGAGGTATGCATGGATTCTTAGGAGAATATGAAGAAAGAATATAGTGTCAATCAGTGACTACTCGGAACATGCCTGTAGTTGAGTAAGTTGGGTTTATTACCTCTTGTGAGGGGGAGAACACACACCCTGGGGAAACATGGGGCACCTCAGTAACAGGGTTCTAGAAAGGACTTTCTGTATTTAGCCTTGATATTAGGGAGAGTTCTGTGAGGAGATGGAGGTAATTCTATGATTGGGAGAGAAAACTGGAAGTGAGACTAATCTATGATTGGTCAAGATGCAGCATTCACTCATACAGCCTGAAAAGTAAAATGTTTGGTTTTTCTTCTTTAACTTTTGCTGTGCTGTGGATCAAGCCCAGAATCTTGTACATAGTAGACAAGCGCTCTCCCACAGAGCTACACCCCCAGCCCTGCTCATTTTTGTGGTTTGAACAATGTTCATGTTTTTGCTGCATTCAGACATGATTCAGATGGTCATATTATAGCTGAGGGTTTTGCCCAGGGATATGAGAAGTTAGGTCAGGTGGGCACATTTTGGAGAGCCTTGTGTGCCATTTTAGGAGTTTAAATTTCTAGAAGGAATTGCTAAGTATTGTAAAAAGAGTGCTATCATAGTTAGAAAAACCCCTATTGTTTTCAGACAAAGGATGAATTAGGAGAAGAGATTAGAGTTAGGGAGATGAATTAGGGGTTTGGTACATAAAAAGTGTGTTTCCTGGGACTGGGGTTGTGGCTTAGTGGTAGAGCGCTTACCTAGCACTTGTGAGGTGCTGGGTTTGATCCTCAGCACCACATAAAAATAAATAAATAAAGGCATTGTGTCCAAATACAACTAAAAAATATTTTTAAAAAATGTATTTCCTATGGGCCAACAAGGGTATCATCTGGAAGTTTCTTAGGAATGCCGAATCTCAGGCCCTACCCCATACTTTACTGAATCAATTACATTTTATCAAAATTCCCAGGTAATTCATAGACCCTTTAAAGTTTGAGAAGCCCTTTATAAAGCTAATTATGTAGGTCTGGTAAAAAAACAATAAGACTCTGAACCTAGACACTCATGGCCAAGGTATAGAAATGTAGAGTTATATGTTCAACAAATAATAGATGTCACCTACATGGCAGGTGTCATACTGGGAGCTGGAGTTGCCACAATGAAGATAGTCTTCCTCTCAAGATACTGCCAATCTGGTGAAGCATGGTAGCTCACACCTTTAGTTCCAGCTACTTGAGAGGCTAAAGCAAAGAGGATTGCAAGATCAAGCCTGTCTAGGCAATTTAGTGATAACCTGTCTCAAAATAAAATATACCTGAGTTCAATCTCTAGTACCACCACCAAAAAAAAAAAAAAAAAAAGTGTGTGCCAGTGGATACTTATTAGACCACAAGTATTCTCTAATTGGTACACAGAGTGGAGTGTGACCAGAGGTGAGGTTTGAGAAATAAGCAGAGGATACCCAATCTGAAGGAGTTTAGTTAGACCCTGGGCTTTACAGGGAGGCCCTGAAGAGCTTATGTGTATGTGTGTGTACATGTGTGTTTGTGCACATGCTGGGGATTGAAGGTTTTTTTTTTTTTAATATTTATTTTTTAGTTTTTGGCGGACACAACATCTTTGTATGTGGTGCTGAGGATTGAACCCGGGCCACACTCATGCCAGGAGAGTGCGCTACCGCTTGAGCCACATCCCCAGCCCCATGAAGGGTTTTAATTAATCAGTTAAGAGAAATTATCAGGGGCTGGGTTATAGCTCAGTGGTAGAGCACTTGCTTTGCATGTGTGAGGCACTGGGTTCGATCCTCAGCACCACATAAGATGAATAAATAAAATAAAGTATTTAAAAAAGAGAGAAATGATCAGTTTTGTTGATTTTTTTTTTTCCCTTTTGCAGTGCTGGATGTCAAATCCATGACCTTACACATGCTAGCCAAGCACTGTACCACTGAGCTATACCTATAGCCTTAGTATTGTTCTTAGGGCCTTTTGAGCAGGGTGTGGTAGTGCATGCCTGTAATCCCAGCAACTCAGGAGGCTGAGGCAGGAGGATTGCAAGTTCAAAATCAGCTTCAGCAATTTAGCAAGGCCCTAAACATCTCAAAATTAAAAAAGGCGGAGGTGCTGGGGAAGTTGCTGAGTGGTAGAGCTCCCCTGGGTTAAATCCCAGTACAAAAAAAAAAAAAAAAAAGTCCTTCTAGGTGCTGAATGAAGGATGTAAGCCTGGAGAGTGAGCAGAGTAGCGTTCTAGGAGAGAGAAGGTGACCTACCTCATGTTCAGAGTGAGGAAGTGGGGCATTCTAGAAGGATGACAAGTTCTATGGAGTAATGAGGGTGCTGTTTTGATGTGAACTCTTAAGCCCCTAATGCAGTGAGCCGAATTGTTGGATTTTTGCTGCCTTGTTTTTTTTAAAATTTTTAATGTTTCCATTTAGATTATTGTTCATCACTATGTTCTTACAGGTGTTGGGTCCTTGTTTTGGTGTTTGCTTTCCTGATCTCTGGGGCTAGGACAAGAAAAAGACAAAGAAAATGACATTGTGTTATTAGATTTCCTCGGCCCCCCAAATTGATAACATTATTAGAACTATAGAAGTTATGTTGTTAATGTGTCCAGCTAGCAGGATTAAGGATTTAAAAGCCAGGGTTCTAGTTCCAATTTCAATTCTGGTAAGTATTGTGACTTTAGGTAAGTTATTTGACTTGTTGGTGTTTGTTTCCTAAGGAAAGGAACTATCTACCTGATTTGTCCTACAGGATTCTGTAGATTAAATAGGATATACCGGGGCTGGGGATGTGGCTCAAGCAGTAGCGCGCTCACCTGGCATGCATGCGGCCCGGTTGGATCCTCAGCACCACATACAAAAACAAAGATGTTGTGACTGCCGAAAACTAAAAAAAAAACAAAAAACAAAACAATAAATATTTAATAGGATATACGCCTATATTGAAAATACTGGCGGGCTGGGGGTGTGGCTCAAGCGGTAGCGCGCTCGCCTGGCATGCGTGCTGCCTGGGTTCGATCCTCAGCACCACATACAAACAAAGATGTTGTGTCCGCTGAAAACTAAAAAATAAATATTTAAAAAAAAAAAAAAGAAAAGAAAATACTGAGTGGTGTTGAGAGCCACAGCCGAAGGGGCCCCAGCAAACTTCCAGCTGCCGGCTGATGATTGGCTCACAGCGGCCCCAGCAACATCTAGCTGATTGGCTCCTCGGCCCCAGCAACATCTAGCTGATTGGCTCCTCTGCGGTGATGCTCATTGGGCTGTTTCCCTGCCCTTTCAGACCACGGAGCTGCTCATTGGGGGACTTTTTTGGCTCTGCCCACGCGACCCAGCCAATGGGCCTCAAGAGCAGGAGGATTGTGGGAGGTGGAGAGAAGCTTGTGGGGGAGAGAGAGGCTTGTGGAAAGCCTGTGGTGGCAGTTGAGGCTCTGAGGGTTTTTCCTGAGAGGCTGTTTTGTTTGGCGTGTGTGGTTCTAAAAATAAAGTTAGTTTCTTTTGACAAGTGGCTCCTGATTGTGCCCAGCCAGACTGCGGCAGAGTGGCATTTAAATGTGATAGTATTATTGCTATTGTTGTTTTGGTTTTATCTTTATAGTGACTAATAGGATTGCCTGGTTACCAATGTGGACCTTAGACTTAAGAGTTTGTGGAGGCTGGGGTTGTGCCTTAGTGGTAGAGTGCTTACCTAGCATGTGTGAGGCACTGGGTTAGAATCTCAACACCATATAAAAAAATAAAGGTATTGTGTCCATCTACAACTAAAAATACATTTAAAAAAAAGATTTGTGGGAATGGCATCAGACTTACTGAATCACCATCATTTGATGGTGATCATCAGCTTCATTTTTATTTATCTTGGTATTTTTCTACAATACACATATAACAGTGTTTTTTGCCTCAGAAGAACCTCTCAAGGCAAATAGGAGCCTATTCCTAAGGAAAGGGAGGCCTCAAAAGATCATATTAGTTTTAATCCTATGAAATTGCAATTCAAATATTCATCAAAAGTGTCATGTAGATATTTTCTGTTTCCATATATAATGCTTACTACATCCTCTCTCTCTCTCTCTTTTTTTTTTTGTGGTACTGGAGATTGAACCCAGAGCCTTATGCATGTGAGACAAGCACTCTACCAACTGAGCTATATCCCCGGCCCTAGCCTCTCTTTTTATAGATCAAGTGCTCACTTCTAAAGTCAATTGGCTCAGATCCTAGAGTTAATTATTTGAATATTTTACTTTTGGAACCTATAAAAATTTGCCTTAAAATTGACAGTATCTTGGGACCAGGTTTGTGGCTCAGTGGTAGAGTGCTTGCCTAGCATGGTGTGAGGCGCTGGGTTCGATCCTGACACCACATAAAAATAAACAAAATAAAGGTATTGTGTCTATCTACAACTTGACACTATCTCTTGAGGTAGCTTTTGTCATATACTTGAATTATTTTTGTGGTAATCGTCAATTCCATGAAGCTGTGGCCTGTATTTTTAGTCTTCTTGGTATTTTTTGGAATGCATAGCAGTGTTGTGCCCATAAAAGGCACAAAAATGTTTGTAGAATTAGAAAATAAGCTTATGAATTTTATAATATGTGATTTCTATTGAATTTGAACTTGTGATGCATTCATTTGCTACAATGGTAACTCTCCAATGTTTCTTGTATTGTAGGTGGAATTGAGCTATTTGCTGAAGTGTCTTTCTCTGATAACCTAGGGAGAAATTTACATTTTGACTTTTTCTTACCATGGCTTTGGTTCATAAATTCCTGAATGGCACATATATTCTCAGAAACTACCTGAAGCCGAGTGCTGCCTTGCATTCATTTTGGGGTATTTACTTTGCAAACTATTGTTCCAATAGTCTTCAGAAACCAGTGGCTGCTTCTGGCAGAGCCTCCCAGGAGAGGAGGACTGAAGAGGGTTTGCAAAGACATCACCAGAAAGAAGTTGCTTTGGATATAACTTCTCCTGAAGAGAAGCCTGAAATGAATTTTGATAAAGCAATTAAAGATGAATTAAAGGACCATTTTAGACGTTTGAAGGATGAAATCATGAATCACTGGGTGGGACCAGAAGGCCGCCCATTGCATGATGTCTTGCTAGAACAAGCCAAGGTTGTCTGGCAGTTCCGTGGAAAAGAAGATTTGGATAAGTGGATAGTCACTTCTGATAAGACAATTGGAGGCAGAAGTGAAGTGTTCTTGAAAATGGGCAAGAATAATCAAAGTGCACTGCTCTATGGAACTCTGAGCTCTGAGCCTCCTCAGGATGGGGAGAGTAGCCAAAGTGGGTACTGTGCAATGATATCCAGGATTCCAAGGGTACGTGAGACTTGGGAGCCAAAGTTTTCTAGTGAGCTGGTGTGAACATTATTATAGCATGACCTATGATGACAGATTTTTTTTCTGTAAATGAACATACCTGGCATGTTATATGTGGGCATCTCATGTGTATATGGGGATAAATAAGTACTTGGCACAAGGGGGAAGTGATTTCTGAGGAGTCATTTCTGGGCATTGTTTTAAGCCAGGGAAGAATATTGCTGTTTGAGGAATACTGAGATGTTAGACATTTGAAAAATATCTGAGGAGGTTTGTATCTCCTCTGACTTGGACCATAACTCCTTTAGTGGCCAGGGGGTCCCTTAAAATGGACATAAGGTCAGACTGTGGCTTTTTTTTTTTTTTTTTGCAGCACTGGGGATTGAACTGAGGGGTACTCTACCACTGAGCTACACTCCCAGTCCTTTTTACTTTTTTTAATTTTGAGACAGGATCTTGCTAAGTTTGTTTTGTTTTGCTTTTTGGTACCAGGGATTGAACTCAGGAGCACTAAACCACTGAACCCTAACCCCATCCCTATTTTGTATTTTCTTTAGAGATAGGGTCTCACTGAGTTGCTTAGTGACTCACTTTTGCTGAGACTGGCTTTGAACTCGTGATCCTCCTGCTTCAGCCTCCTAAGCTGCTGGGATTACAGGAGTGTACCACTGCGCCTGGCTAGTTTGTTTGTTTTGTTTTGTGTTGGAGATTGAACCCAGGGCCCCATGCATGTGAGGTGAGTGATCTGCCACTGAGCTACATCTCCAGTCCAAGTCTTCTGGCTGAGGCAGATCTCAAACCTGGAATCCTCTTGTCTCAGCCCCCTGAGTTGCTGGGATTACACGTGTGTGCCATCATGCCTGCCTTTTTATTTTCCCCACCTTTTTTTTTTTTATTGGTGCATTATAGTTGTACATAATGATGACATTTGTTATTAAATATTCATACAGGGGCTGGGGATATAGCTCAGTTGGTAGAGTGCTTGCCTTGCATGTACAAGGCCCTGGGTTCAATCCACAGTACCACTAAAAAAAAAAAAAAAAAAAAAAAAGTATTCATACATGCACACAATATAACAATATAATTTGGCCAGTGTCACTCCCCAACTCTTTTCCCTTCCCTCTCCTCCTTCCACCCTGACTTTTTTATTAGTAGACTTTTTTTTTTTTTTAATATTAGGGATTGAACCCAGACGTACTTTACGACTGAACCATATCCATAGCCCTTTTTATTTTTTATTTTGAGATAGGGTCTCACTAAGATGCTTATGGTATCACTAAATTATTGAGGCCAGCCTCAAACTTTTGGTCCTCTTTGCGTCAGCCCCCCAAGTTGCTGGGATTACAGACGTGTGCCACTGTGCCCAGTTTTAGTAGACTTTTTATTTTAAAATAGTTGTATTTTTAGATTTATAGAAAAACTGTAATTGCAAAGATAGTACACAGAGTTCCCATCCACTCCTTATCCACCTTCTCCTTTCGACGTCATCTTACTGTTCAACATTTGTCATGAAAAAGAAACTAACATTAGTTTGTTACCAACTAAGTTTCAGACTCTATTTGGGTTTCACTACCTTTTCCAATAATATCCTTTATCTGTACCAGGATGGTACATTACATGAGTTGAGTTTTTATATATTCTCTTTTGTGTGGTCTGTGACAGTTTGTGTCTATGTCTCTCTGTCTCTCTCTCTCTGTCTCTCTTTTTCTGTGCTGGGGATTGAACCAGGGCTTTGTACATGATACTAGGCAAGTGCTCTACCACTGAGTTACATTTCCAGCCCTTTGGGATATTTTTTGAGATGAGGTTTCACTCTATTGCCCAGGGTGATCTTGAACTCCTAGGCTCAAGTGATTCCTACTTCAGCCTCCTGAGTAGCTGAGACTATGGGGGTGCTATTTTTCATGGGGAAAATAATACCTGTTCTGATCAGATATTTTTGTGGAATAGCCCTTTCTGATGATTTTCCTCCTGGTTAGACTGAGGTTCTGGGTTTTTAAAAATACCATAGAATTAGCCAGGTATGGTGGCACATGCCTGTAATCCCAGCAGTTCAGGAGGTTAAGACTGTAGGATCAAAAGTTCAAGGCCATGGCTGGGGTTGTGGCTCAGTGGTAGAGCGCCTGTCTGGCATGTGTGAGGCACTGGGATCAAGCCTCAGCACCGCATAAAAATAAATTAAAAAATAAATAAAATAAAGGTATTCTGTCCATCTTAAAAAAAAAAAGTTCAAGGTCACCAGTGGTTCACACCTGTAACCCCAGTGATTTGGCAAGAAGGAGTATCAGGAGTTCAAAGCCAGCCTCCGCAACATAAGGTGCTAAGCAGCTCAGTGAGACCCTGTCTCTTAAAAAAATACAAAATAGACAGTGGGGATGTGGCTCAGTGGTTGAGTGCCCCTAGGTTTAATCCCCAGTACCAAAAAAAAAAAAAAAAAGAAATTCAAGGCCAAGCCAGGCATGGTGGCACATGTCTGTAATACCGGTGACTCAGGAGGTTGAAGCAGGAGAATCACGAGTTCAAAGCCAACCTTAGTGACTTAGCAAGTCCCTAAGCAACTCAGCAAGACCCTGTTTCTAAATAAAATACAAAAAAGGGCTGGGGGTGTGGCTTAGTGGTTCAGCGGCCTTGGGTTCAATCTCTAGTACCCCCCCCCCCAAAAAAAAAAAAGTTCAAGGCTAGTGTCAGCAATTTAGTAAGGCCCTAAGCAACTTTGAGACCCTGTCTCAAAAATATTAAAAAGGGTTGAGTTTGTAGCAGTGGTAAATTGCTCCAGGCTCCATCTTCAGTAACCGCCCCCCCACACCATTTCCCCTGTAATGTTGCTTTTTTTTTTTTTTTCCTAACTGCATTCCATATTCATGATGTGGGTAGTAGGAGGGATTAACCTTTTTTGGAGAGATTAGTGTCTACAGAAATTATTTGGAATTCTTCAGTAAGGAAAATTTGATTCTTCTCCCCTTCCCACTTTATTCTTTCAGTCATTTAGCAGGGAACCACATTTGGGGTTGAAATCTAATGCTATGCTATTACTGTGTTGCTCAGATAGTCCCAGCTTTGGTATTGTTCTTTCAGGTTGACTCCTGTCCCTTTGACCTTTTTTTTTTTTTTTTTGGTAGAGTGCTTGCCTAGCATGTATGAGGCACTGGGTTCTATTTGTTGTGGCTGAGCCACATCCCCAGCCCCAGTGACTGAACCCAGAGGAACTCAACCACTAAGCCACCTCCCCAGCCATATTTTGTATTTTTTTAAGAGACAGGGTCTCACTGAGTTGCTAAATGCCTCACCATTGCTGAGGCTGGCTTTGAATTCACGATCCTCCTGACTCAGCCTCCCACGCCACTGGGATTACAGACATGTGCGCCTGGCTCTGAATTCCATTTTTTTTTTTTTTTTAATTTTAGTTGGTCACAACATCTTTATTTATTTTTATGTGGTGCTGAGGATCGAACCCAGGGCCTCACATGTGCTAGGTGAGCGCTCTGCCGCTGAACCACAACCCCAACCCATCTGAATTCCATTTTTGAAGAGAGTATAGATGGTTGTTAAGCATGCAGATTTGGAAGTGTGTGCTGGATATACTGCTTATTAGCTGAGTGCTCAATTTATATGTGAAATTGGTAAAATAGTAATTCCTATCTTAGGGCCCTTGTGAGGATTAAATGTGAGTATGCATGTAAGTACTTAATGTAAGTATTCAGTGGCTGATAGTTATTAGTATTTTTTTTTTAATTTTTCTAATTGTCAATGGAGCTTTAATTTATTTATTTATATGTGGTGCTGAGACTAGAACCCAGTGCCTCACACATGCTAGGCAAGCACTCTACCACTGAGCTACAACCCCAGCCCCAGTTACTGGTATTTCTTGTTATTATCACCTTTAAAGCTTGAGCTCTGTTTTCCCCAGTTTTCTGACATAGGGCAAAGCAGTTTTCATAAAATGTGCCACTCAAGCCATTGCTCCAAGGAACTAAGGAAAAAACTTTCATTCCTTTCCATTCGCAAACACAAGTGAATGCTTATCCCATGGAAACAATTACATGCCAATCATGTCTTGAACATAATTACCTTAGAAACAACTGTCAGTATTTTGTGCTAAAATAATAATTGCCAGATTTATCTTTTTGTGGTGCAAAGTGTAAAAAGATGAAAAATTGTTAGTGGATCCTTTTGGTGTTACTGACTTGGTGATGGCTCACATTTTGCTAATAGTGGAGAATGTGGTCAAGTTAACATGTCTTCTGTACTTTAGGGTGCTTTTGAGAAGAAGAAGTCTTATGATTGGTCCCAGTTCAACACTCTGTATCTCCGTATCCGTGGGGATGGCCGACCTTGGATGGTGAATATCAAAGAGGACACAGACTTTATCCAAAGGAAAAATCAGATGTACAGTTACTTCATGTTCACCCGTGGAGGGCCCTACTGGCAGGAAGTCAAGGTAATAGCATAAGTCTTTACTGTTTATGAAAATTAGGTCTTTTGAGATTGTGGTTACATTGTAGCTAATCCTTCTTGGAACGTTGGGGATGAAGTGGGTAGAAGGAAGAGGAAAGAGACTTACATAAATCACTCTTTATTTCATTAATCATAAATGGTAGTTTACTAATTGGTAAATACTTTTTTTTTTTTCTATCTGGGTATTGAACCCAGGATTGCTTTACCACAGAGCTAAATCCCTAACCCTTTTTATTTTTATTTTGACACAGGGTCTTGCTAAGTTGCTGAGGCTGGCCTCAAACTTGTGATCCTCCTGCCTCAGCCTCCCAAGTTGCTGGGAGTTATAGGCAAGTGTCACCTTGCCTGGCTTGATCATGTCTTTTCTGCTAGGTAGTTGGTCTTTATTTTCAATTACTAGGAATTCTTTAACTATTGGCTTTTTGTCTGTGATATAAGCAACCTGTACACATTAAAAGTCCCTCTGCCTCCACCTCCTCTGCCTCCTTCCCAGAAAAGAACAGTTTCTGGCATATCGTTTAAGACATTTCTTTTGATATGTAAGAATAAGCTGCTGGGTGTGGTAGTAGCCTATAATGCTAGCAGCTCTGGAGGCTGAGGTAGAAGGATCACAAGTTCAAAGCCAGACTTACCAATTTAGCAGGACCCTTAGTAACTTAGTGAGATCCTGTCTCAAAATAAAAAATAAAAAGGACTGAGGATGTAGCTCAGGGATAAAGCATCCCTAGGTTCAATCTCCAGTACAAAAACAGACAGACAAACTAAACCCCCTAAAGAAAAACAAGCTGAGCATGGTAGCACATGCCTATAATCCCAGATACTCAGGAGAATGAGGTAGGAGGACTGCCAAGTTTAAGATTAGTCTGGGCAACTTAGCGAGACCCTATCTCAAAAATATTAAAAACAATAACAAATATAAAAGACTGAGGTGTACCAACAAGAACAACAAAAAGTAAAACACATACACATATTTGTATATGAATAATTTTGTTATTTTCCTTAACATTTTTAATGACAATATTCAAACATACATAAAAAATTACAGTGAGTATCCAGATAGCTACCATGTACCACCTGGATTTTTCAAAAAATATTTGGTTGTGTTTGTTTCATCACTTTATTTTATTTACCCATTCTTCCTACTACTCATTTCTCAATCCATCTTTTGTCAATATCAGTACATCTCATCCCTAAACTTTTTAGCATGCAAGTTTTTAGATCTCAGTATTTACTTATAGTAATTTTTTTTTTTTTTTTTTGGTGGTGCTGGGGATTGAACCCACCAGAATTTCACACATAGTAGGCTTACACATTACTACTGATCTATACCCCTACATCATAAGGCCTTTAAGAAAAAACCCAAAAAACCAAGCTTATATTATAGATTTTATCCCTTTCTTTTTCTTTCTTTTGTGTTGGAATTCGAACCCAGGCCCTCATGCTGCTAACTAAGCACATGTTATATCACTGAGCTATATACCCCAGTCCAGATTTTGTCTGTATCTTGTTTTCTTACTCATAAGACATCACAGAGGTCTTCATATTGCAGTGAAGCAATTGTATCCTATATAGATCTACTTCATTTTTTCAATAGCCCATATATTCAATTGTATGGCTATACCATAATTTAGCTTTGCTGTTGTTGTTGTTGTTACTATTAGGAAAAAACTATACCTTTATGTATTTCTTGGAGCTTATTTGTAATATAAATTCCTGAAAGTGAAGTTGATATGGCAAAGTTATGGCATTTCAAAATTTGCTAGATGTCATTGAATTAGTTTTCTGATACTACATAACAAATTATAAATGTAGAAGATTAAAACAACACACTCATTAATTTATAGTTCAGTAGGTCATAAATTGGAATATGTATGACTGTTGCATCCTTAGTTCTGTTTTTTTTCTTTTTTTCAAATTGGGGATTGTACCCAAGGGCACTATATCACTGAACTATCCACAGCCCTTTATTTTTTATTTTGTGATAGTTGCTCAGGCTGGCCTTGAACTTGCTATCCTTCAGCCTCAACTTCCTGAGTGCTGAGATTACAGGCCACATTTGGCCCATGCTCAGTTCTTATAAGGCTGAACTGAAGGTGTCAGTCAGCAGGGCTGTTTCTTTCTGTAGCTTGTGGGCAGAATGCACTTTGTAGAGGTTATTCTGGTTCTTAGCCAAATTAAGTTCCTTATGATTGTAGGCAGCAAGTTTTTTCTTGCTGTCAAGGGGGTGCTGCTCCCAGCTCTTAGATGCTGCTGGCATTCCTTGCAGAAGCATCTAAGTTCCTATCACTATTTTCAAAGCCAGCAATGGAGAATCTCCCTACCATTGTTTCTCATGCTGCTAATTTGTTTCACTATTCCCTTTTATGGGTTCGAATGATTGTCAAGTCTGCAAAGAATAATCTCCCTATATTAAGATGAACTGATTTGAAACTTCCTATCACAATTGCCAGCTGCCCTCTCAAATAGTAGTACTAAGTCGCCCTCCTACTAATTGTAAAAATGTGTGCCTATTTCTCCCCATCTGTTTTTCCACTTGTTTATGTAATCTTTTTTAAGATATTTGTAAAAGCTGTGTTTAGGATATTACACTCTTGTTCTTAAATGTTACAGTATTATTTCCTAGTTTATCCTTTGTCTTTTGCTCTCAGAATTTTAATTTGTACTCTTTTGGACTTCTGGCTTAGAAAGTTTTCACTATTTTCTTCTAGTAGTTATTTTAAAAAAATTTCTGCCTTTGGACTGGGTTATAATTCAGAGGTGGAGTGCTTGCCTAATATTTGAGAGACCCTGCATTCAACACACCAGCACTGCAAATAATAGTTTAAAAAAATGATCACCTTTGATCCAAGTGGCTGGCTACTCCTCATAACTGTATATAAAAATTTAAACTATTTTCTTACTGTTGCAACTCCATACAGATGCCACAATTACTTATGTTCCATTTATGAAATAAATGGTTTCTTCTTTCAGATTCCTTTTTCCAAATTTTTCTTCTCAAATCAAGGAAGAATCCGGGATGCCCAGTACCAGCTTTTGCTTGACAAGGTAACATTTTCCTATACTTCTCACTCAGAATGATATCTTTAATGAAACAGAACTCTTGTGATCATGAGTTCAGTCCAATTTGGACGGCTGGCAGATGAAAGATAAAAATTCCTACTCAGAGGCACCTGTTAGGTTCAATTAAATACCAATCTGGATATATCTGTGAGCTGAGCTCCTATTTGGAAGAATGTTGGTATGATCCTCTTTCTTTCTATGTTTGTATTTTAACTTTTAAAAACAAGTTTGGAAGAACTTCAAGGAATCTACATTGGGCATCCATGTTGCTCTAAGTCTTAAGTGGAACCATCTAACAGGAAGAGAAATGTGGAAAGAAAAGCAGTCTCTTGTACTTTCTCTTATAATTTTCCACAGTCTGTGAGAACTATTGTATACTTGCTAAGGGCTGATGGTACAAAGATCCAGTTATAGTAATCAGCTCATACGATTTAAAAACTTCAGGAATAACATCAGCATGTCAGCATAAGAGATTTTAATCAATTTCTTATTTTAAATTTAGATCTCTACTATAGGATTCACGTTGGCTGATAAAGTGGATGGTCCATTCTTCCTGGAAATAGATTTTATTGGTGTGTTTGCTGATCCAGCCCACAGAGAAGAATTTGCTTATGAAAATTCTCCAGATCTTAACCCAAGACTTTTCAAATAGATAAGAACATGTGGCAGTTTTGTATGACTACACTATGGATAGTAGCAGTAACAGTGATGCTGGGGATCTGGGGGCTTCACACATGCCAGGCAAGGACTCTACCACACAGCTACATCACCAGGACAAAATAAAGCATTTGTCAATATCCAATGAATGGTGGTATATAATCCTTAAGAATAGCATTTGCCTCATCTTAAGAGGAACAAGGCATGAAACCAGGTTCTGAGCTGTGCTTTAGCTCATGTAATACAAGTACTGATGTAGAGGCACTCAAATGTTTTTGTTGGAATGTTCCTATTAGGAACATTTCCTACAGGAGTAGGCAGGTTCCAAAGCGGAGAGTCTCTGAGATCATTGTTGATAGCTTTCTACCATTCTTTCCTTGCAGGTTTCTTTTATTTCCTAATTCATCTTTGAGAAAAGGAAACTGCTCAAGGATATTAAGATAAAGATGCCATAAAAGTCACTGAGAAATGAGATACCTGATTTAGAGAGCTTGTCCTCCAAAGATAAATGAACCTTACTAGTTCTTCCTTTATAGTGACTATTCATGTGATGGATCAGTGGAGAAACTAGATACTAGACTTCTGTCTCTAAAGCTTCCAAAGTTATTTTAAGTATTAGAGATTGGACATGCTAAAAATAAGGCCCTGATTAACTCACTTTGATCAATTTTTGTCATATTAGAAGGTAGGAAATGAATATATAGCCAGAGTACTATGAGAGCCAAAATTACAAATAAATGATATACAAAGTTAAATAGCTTTTCTTCTTTTTGGTATCAGGGATTGAACCCAGTGGTGCTTAACCACTTAGCCACATCCCCAGCCCTTTGACCACTGTAGTTTGCACTTCCTAAAGTTTTCTAGAAATGGGATCATATAGTATATGCTTATTTTTTGGTCTGGTTTATTTTACTCATCATATAGATTCATTTGTTACACTTTTTGTCAGTAGTTCCATTTTTTTAATTCTAAAGTAGTTTCCCATTGTGTAGATATAACCCATTTGTCCATTCCACCTGTGATGGAAATTAGAGTGGTTGCCAATTCTTGGTTATTACAAATAAAACTTCACATGAACATTCAGATACAAGTCTTTTATAGGAACATATGATTTTAGTTTTCTTGAGTAACTAGAAGTCCCGTGGCTGAATAACATAGTAGACAGACATACAACTTTTTAAAGTGTTAGCAATTTTTTTCCAAAGGGGTTGTACCATTTTACATTCTCAGAAGTGTATATGATCCAGGAGTTTCTTGTTGGAAAATCTGATTTTTTTAGGCATGTGCCACATTCTGAACATATATGCAAACTAATAATTATGATAAAAACCAGTAAGACAATATAAAGACCAGAAAGACAGTATAAAAAGGAAGAATATAGTAATTTACTCTTGGGGTAGAAGTGGGTGGTCCAGGAAAGTGTATGAAGGATATAGGTAACCTCTTATGATCTTAGCTGATCATCCAAATCATGGATGACTTGTCTAAAAAGAATCCACCACCACAACAAAAAAAATTTTATTTATAAAGTTCTTGAGCAGTATATAACACAGAAGCTCTATGTAATTATTGCAAGAAAGAATAATATGATGGGGGTGAGGTACTGGGGATTGAACTCAGGGGCACTCAACCACTGAGCCATATCCTCAGCCCTATTTCGTATTTCATTTAGAGACAGGGTCTCACTGAGTTGCTTAACACCTAGCTTTTGCTAAGGCTGGCTTTGAACTTGAGATCCTCCTGTCTCAGCCTCCCAGGCCACTGGGATTACAGGCGTGTCCCACTGCACCGGGTTCCATAAAATTATTAAGATACAAATTTGACAGTGACAGCACTTTAATCCTTAAAGCAGTAATACACTTTTTTTTTGGTGTGTGTGTTGGGGCTCAAACCTAGGACCTGCCACATGCTAGGCAAATGCTCTATCACTAAGCTATACCCCCATCCATCTAAAATTGATAGATTTTATATATAAATATGCTTATAGCTTTTATTTTTAAATATGAAAGGCTAGAATGAGATATAGAATTTTATTTTTAAGGATATAGTGAATGACAGGTAGCAATGACATGAAGTCTTTATTATAAACATTTTCATATGGGCAACCATTTGTCCAGTTTCAAGATTGCTAGATTTTGTAGGTTAGAAGATAAGAGGTGGCCTTTTGGTCCCAGCTTTCTTATTGTTAACTTTTTATTGTTCAAATTCTACTTAAGCTTGTGGTATGACTAGCTTCATCAGGTAAATGCTATTGCATAGAGGACAGCAAGGCTGTTAATGTTAGAAATAGTAAAGAAGCTTGACATTAAAGATCTAGGTTAAGCTCTAAGATGTCTCATGAGAAAACTGGGCTGTACAGGGACTTAAGATAAACACTATTCCAAAGAATGCCAGAACATAAAAAACACATAGATGCTATACAGATTATGAATAAAAGTTAACAGAGAAAGATCTCTGACGAAAGTGGGAAAGACAATATAAAAATATTTACAAAATTTCAGAAAACAATTTCAGAATAAAGGAATATTTATAGGACATTAACAAATTACTCATCTTTAAGTATAATGAAGCCCCTTCGAGCTTCCAAAACCTTTGCTTTCTTCTCCTTTCGTTCTTGCTCTTGTTTCTTCCGCTGCTCTTCCCTATGGGGGAGGGACAGGTTATACAGTAGGTTCTAATTAAGCTCCAAAACAGGCACTTCAGAGCAACTATTGTTGGGCTAATATAAAATGTAAATGACATCTAGCATATTTATGCAAAACAGATTCTTACAGGGCATTTCTCTACTTACCTGTTAATGTTAGAAATAGTTCTAACAAATGTTAGTCATTGTTCTAAAGGGCTAAAAATTGGTATTTCCCTTTTAATATTAACTCAGCATTTAATATCATGCATGGAACTGGAATCAGAAGGTACATTAGTGACTGAATTCAATTCCTATATCTTAAAATTTGTGTGTGTGTATGTGTGTGTGTCTGTGTCTGTGTGTGTTTGGTATGGGGGATTGAACTCAGGGGCACTTGACCACTGAGCCATATCCCCAGCCCTATTTTGTATTTTTTTTTGAGACAAGGTCTCACTGAGTTGCTTAGTGCCTCCCTTTTGCTGAGGCTGGCTTTGAACTCGTGATCCTCCTGCTTCAGCCTCCAGAGCCGCTGGGATTACAGGCTTGTGCCACCATGCCTGACTTAAATTATTATTTTTTTTAATATTTATTTTTTAGTTGTAGATGGACACAATACCTTTATTCTATTTATTTATTTTTTTATGTGGTGCTGAGGATTAAACTCAGAGTCCCACACATGCTAGGCGAATGTTCCACTGCTGAACCACAACCCCAGCCCTTAAAATTTGTAAATTTGTTTTAAATGAGAAATTTTGATTCCTAGATGTCAGAATCAAAGGTTAAGCTCACAAGTGTCCAGTGAAAGTGCTAGAACTAGAACCAGAGCCTACTGACTTAAGCTACTATGCTTTTTTTTGTTTTTGTTTTTTCTAAAGAGGATAAGGCAAAGAGAAATAAAAAGCCCAGGGACCATGTTAACGATCTTTTTTTTTGGGGGGGGGGTACCAGAGATTGAACTTGGGGATACTCGGTGACTGAGCCACATCCCCAGCCATATTTTGTATTTTGTTTAGAGACAGGGTCACACTGAGCTAAATAGTTCCTCACTGTTGAGACTGGCTTTGAACTTGTGATCCTCCTTCTCAGCCTCCCAAACTGCTGGGATTACAGGCATGCACCACCATGCTCTGCAATGTTAACTATCTTAACAACAAATACAGTTAGTAACAGCCTTCATGGAAGGTAGATATAAGCAAGAGTCACATTTATAGGAAAGTTCCAGACAGGGAATCTGTACTCATCCAGGAGCAGCTAAAGCCTAGCATGAGCCCCAGTTTTAACCTGGTTTTCAAACACAAGGAAGTCAGTAAGGACTATACTGGGTTTTTCTTGAATAAGACCTTCATACCTCATAAACCTGGGGTCTTGAGGAGTGAGGAATTTACATCTATCTATCTGCATATGCAGGTGTCCTGGGTGCTTGAGCATTGGTGTCTGGAGGGATATTCATAAGCATTGCTTGGGAGGATAGGTTATACAAGAGCAATCTTTGAATCTGCTTCTTCTGTAACACTTGTAGAGCCTTTAAAACAATGCAGATATTTGGGTCTCATCCCAACTCTTCTGATTTGAGATCTGCTACGCTAGACCTCAGCTCAGGTACTTCTAGAAAGTTTTATAGGTGATTCCATGCTATGGTTTGGATATTTGTCCTACACAAAGGATCACACATGGGCTGGGGATATAGCTCAGTTGGTAGAGTGCTTGCCTTGTGTGCACAAAGCCCTAGGTTTGATCCCCAGTACTACAGACACACACACACAACACACAAAAAAGATCACATACATGCTAGAGTTTTTGTCCCCAGTACAATGGTATTGAGAGGTGGCACAAACTTTAAGAGGGGGTAATTGGGTCAAGGTGGTACACCCTTGGAATTAATGCACATCTCCTGGAAGTGAGTTGGGTTAGGGCTTGAGGGAGTAGACTGTTATATAAAGTATCTGGTCTCAGGTATTTTGTTACAGCAACACAAAATGGGTTAAGACATTCTACTTCTAACCTTAAACGTGCTATTACTGACAGTATCCCCCAGAGGAGCTTTTGTATACTGTTTTTATTTGTTCTTTTGCTTTTGCAGCACTGGGAACTGAATTCAGTGCCTTGCACATGCTAGGTAAGTGCTCCATCACTGGCTTACATCCCCAGTCCTATTTTAATGTTTTGAGACACCATCTTGCTAATTTGTCCAGGCCGGGCTAAAACTTGGCCTGGACAAATTAGCCTCAGCCTCAGCCTTCTTGCCTGGGATTACAAGCAGGCACTACTAAGTGCGGCTATTGTCTTTTTGAAATTAGAAAAATTATAAAAGTGGATAATTATGTACTCACCTGGTCTGGAGATGAGGTTGTTTATAGGTTTTCTTATGGAACGTAACTCTGTCCACATGTTCATTCAGAGAATTATTTTCTTTAGATTTCCCCCATGGTTTCAGCTTTCCTAGTTAAGGACCAAGACACAGTTTTGAGATTCTTTTATTTGTATTCCTAACTTTATTGTCTTCATTTGTAGCTACGTGTTTCCTACCAGTGTTTATACTTTGCTTTATAGACATTTTCCAGTATGTTCCAAAAGTATATTCTGTCATTTATTTTCATTTCACACTCCACAAATACAAATCATATTTTTCCTCTAAAAATAAAAATATGTGCTGGGCACAGTGTCACATACCTATAGTTTCCAGCTACTTTGGAATCTGAGGCAGGAGGATAGTTTTTAGCTCATAAACTCAAGAATAGCCCGAGTAACATAATAAGATCTGAGACTCAAACAACAGCAAAATACAAACATGTGGGGCTAAGGTTGTGGCTCAGTGGTAGAGCACTAGCTTATCAGTACATGTGAGACCCTGAGTTTGATACTCAGCATCACATAAATAAATAAATAAATAAATAAATACAGGTATTATGTCCATCTACAACTAAAAAAAAAAATACAAATGTGTGATTTTTTATAAACCTTAGAAAGTTACAGAATTTTTTTTTCATTTTTCTGTGCTGAGGATGAAGGCCAGTTTCATGCATGCTAGACAAATACTCTACCATTGAGCTATATGCTCAGACTGAAAAAAATCTTAGTACAAAAAGAATTCCCTTAATGCTGAATCCAATTACCTAGCACATTAAAAGAAGCCATTACAACCAAGTATCTTATCCCAAGATTACATACGAATTAGGTTTAATATTAATTCATTTTAATCTATTTTGTCATAACCGTTACTTATTAAAATGGATTCAGAATAGAATGGGAATATTTTTTTTTTTTTTTTTTTTTTTTTTAAATGGGTCACTTTTTTTTTTTTTAAATATTTATTTATTTTTTTAGTTCTCGGTGGACACAACATCTTTGTTTGTATGTGGTGCTGAGGATCGAACCCGGGCCGCACGCATGACAGGCGAGCGCGCTACCGCTTGAGCCACATCCCCAGCCCCAGAATGGGAATATTTTGTTGGCATTAGGACTGAGACCAGATTCAGCAATTCCTATTTCTAGGTACCCCAAAGATTTGAAATCAATCTATCATAGAGATATCTGCATTCCCATGTTCACCAGAGCACTGTTCGCAATAGCCAAGTTATAGAATCAACCTAAGTATCCATCGGTAGATGAATGAATAAAGAAAATGTGGTATAGACATGCATTTTGGCTCATGCCTGTAATCCTAGCGGCTTGGAAGGCTGAGGTAGGAGGATCTCGAGTTCAAAGCTAGGCGCTAAGCAAAAGCGAGGTGCTAAGCAACTCAGTGAGACCCTGTCTCTAAATAAAATACAAAATAGGACTGGGGATGTGGCTCAGTGGTCGAGTGCCCCTGAGTTCAATTCCGGGTACCAAAAAAAAAAATCTTATCATTTGCAACAACATGGGTAGAATTAGAGAACATTATGCTAAGTGAAACAGGCCAGATGACAAAGGTAAATACTGCATGTTCTCACTTAAGTGCAGAATCTAAAACAACTGAACTCAGAAGCAGAGTAGAGTGGTGGTTATGGGGGGTTTGGGAAGATGTTGGGTAAAGGCCATAAAATTTTGGTCAGAGATGTGTGTTATACAACTTAATGACTATAGTTGACATATTCTTAAAGTAGCTTTAAAGTGTTCTCATTACAAATAAATATGTATAATTAAAAAAAAAAAATTCAGATGTAAATTGATTATTTTTGCAGTATTTGGGGTTGAACCCAGGGGTGCTTTACCACTGAGTTACATCCCTAGCTTTTTTTTACTTTTTTGAGACAGGGTCTCAATAAATTGCAGAGGCTGGTCTCAAACTTTTGATCTCCCTAGCTGGAATTACAAACATGAAACAGTGCCTGCCAGATTGTTTTGTCTTAAGTGTTTTATAGGCCCTTAACCCCCAAATACTCCCACATACCTTTGTGTGGCTCATAGTTGAGGGGACGAGACAAACTTGCTTTGAGATCAAATACTGGTTTCTTATTGGAGACTGGAGTCTGCATTGCCATAGTTGTTAACTTGAATGGGATAATAACTAAAAACGATCAAAAAATACCAAAAGACTTAATTAGGAAATAAAAAAAAAAGACCTGTTATAGTTTTTGTCAAATTATCACTTTTTAGTCTTAAAAATAAATCTATTTTAATAGATTGAATGTTTGTATCTCTATGTCCCTGGTTCATATATTGAAATCCTAAAATGCCAGCATTATTAATGTTTATTTTTTCCGTGGAGCTAGGGCTTTAACCCAGGACCTTGCTCATGTTAGGTAAATGCTCTACCAATGAGCTATATCCCCAGCCTGCATGATTAGTACTAGGATATATGGCCTTTAGGAGATAATCAGGTCATGAATGGGTTTAATGCCATATAAAGAGACTTCACAAAGCTCCTATCTTTCTATCACCTAGAGATACAATGAGAAGTCAGTAGTGTGCTACCTTCCAAGGGGGCCTTCACCAGAACCTGACCATGTAGGCAACCTGATCTAACATCCAGAGCTGTGAGAAATAAATTTTTGTTGTTTGTAAGCCAGTCAGTGGTGGTTTGTTATAGCAGCCTGAACAAGCTAAGACTATCTACATGAATAGTATGAAATAGATATGGGGTCAAAAAGGAAAAAGGAAGCCAGGTGTGGTATTGCACGGTGGTGATCCCAGCAGTTCAGAGGCTGAGATAGAAGGATCTCGAGTTAAAAGCCACGCTCAGCAAAAGTGAGGTGCTAAGCAACTCAGTGAGACCCTCTCTCTAAATAAAACACAAAATAGGGCTGTGGATGTGGCTCAGTGGTTGAGTGTCTTTGAATTTAATTCCTAGTATGTGCCCCCAAAAAAAGAGAAAGGGGGAAAAATAATGAAATCTAACCACTCAGATTTTTGTTTCCCATTAACAGCTCCTTAAGTATTTTGGAAGTTATGACATTTCGAGGGATCAGCTAGGAATCTAGAATCCCATTTCAAGAAATAGCTGGGTTAGCCAGGCATTGTGGCACATGCCTATAATCCCAGCAATCTGGGAGGCAGAAGCAGGAGGACTGCAATTTAGCAAGGCCCCATCTCAAAATAAAAAATGAAAAAGGGGTCTTTCCCTGCTGTTGCAGAGTCTCGCGGAGGCTCAGGTTTGTTCAAGATTCAGCTTCACCCATAGCCCACCCACTGCCATGGCCAAGGAATGCGTTACTGCTGGAGGTGTAATGGATGTAAACACTGCTTTACAAAAGGTGCTGAAGACCACCCTCGTCCACGCTGGTCTTGCACATGAAATTCTCGAAGCTGCCAAAGCCTTCCACAAGTACGTTTTATCAGTCTCAATACTGTGGGTTGTTGCAACAGGAACAAAACTTCAGCCAAGGGAAGAAAGCGTGAAGTTCATGGTGTTAGCACAAAAGTTCTGAATGGCATCTGGTTCTACGGGAAACCTAGGAAAAGGTGTCAGGCCCATCTCTGTGTGCTTGCATCCAACTATAATGATGTCAAATTGGTGGAGGCCCTTTGTGCTGAGTACCAAATCAATCTAATTAAGGTCGATGATGACAAGAAACTAGGAGAATGGGTAGGCTTCTATAAAATTGACCTAGAGGGCAAACCCCCATAAAGTGGTTGGTTGTAGTTGTGTAGTTGTTAAGGACTATGGCAAAGAATCTCAGGCCAAGGATGTCATTGAAGAGTATTTCAAATACAAGAAATGAGCAAATAAATTTTTGGTTCACCAAAAAAAAAAAAGAAAAACAAGAAAAGAAAAAGAAAAAGGGCTGGGATATGGCTCAGTAGTTAAGTGCCCCTGGGTTCAATTCCCAGTTCCAAAAAAAAAAAGAAATAGCTTGGTTATTTTTCAGTGGTAGTAGTAGATATTCTTTTTAAAGATTACATGTTATTAACATGGCTGTTTGTGTGTATATGTGTTACTGGGGATTGAACCCAGGGGTGCTCTACCACTGAGCTACATTCCCAGGTCTTTTTTTTTTTTTTTAAGTTGTTGATGGACCTTTATTTTTATTTATTTATATGCAGTGCTGAGAATTGAACCCAGTGCCTCACATGTGCTAGGCAAGCACTCTACCACTAAGCTACAAAACCCAGCCCCTGGGGTTCTTTTTATATTTTATTTCAAGATAGGGTCTAAGTTGCTGAGGCTGGTCTTGAACTTGCCTCAGCCTTCTGAGTTGCTAGGATTACAGGTGTTGCCACAATGTGTGACATGACTCTGGTTATTAATAAAGACTATTATCATTTAAGAATGTGAATTTTGGTACCATAAAGTTTTTGTTTTCTTTTGTTTTGTGGTACTGGGGATAGAACCTAGGGCCTTTTGCATGTGAGGCAAGCACTCTACCAACTGAGCTATATCCCCAGCCGTCATAAAGTTAAAAATACATCAGAGGGGCTGGGGATGTGGCTCAAGCGGTAGCGCACTCGCCTGGCATGCGTGTGGCCCAGGTTCGATCCTCAGCACCACATACAAACAAAGATGTTGTGTCCGCTAAAAACTTAAAAATACATCAGAATGGTGTGATTTAGTAAGCCTCTTTGCTATAGTTAGGTACCAAACATCTGGCACATTTTATAATCACTTCCTCTCATATGGGGAGCCACTCAGTTGTACCTAGATTATTGCCAAATGTCAACACTTGCCTGTATTTGTGAAGGAACAATAGAATCTAGGAACACCTAGTTAAAAAAAAAAAAAAAAAAGATCAAAACCCTGTATTTAAGCTATACCGTTGTGTTAATATCCAGTGCAAGCAGGAAATGGGATAATGGAAGTTGTCATATACTGCCTGTAGGAGCATGGATGGGTACAATTCAGCCAGCACAGGAAAAGTATGAATATTCTCGAATTCAGCAGTCTTGCTTCTAATCTATACATTTGCACATGTATAAGAAACCTGCTCAAGAGTTTTCTTATCTATACTATACATAATAATTAAAGCTGGAAATAACCATACCTTTGAGCAGTAAAATACATAAATTGGCATATAGCCAAATCATTGAAACAGTAAAAACAATTCATCATGGTTGAATTTTTTTTTTCCCCAGGGATTGAACCCAGGAGCACTTAACCACTGAGTCACATCCCCAGCTCTTCTTTTTATTTTTTTTTGAGACTTAATTTTATGAAGTTTAAAGATGAACCAATAAAGATGTTTGATTTTGGTTTTGATTTTTACCTGCAGCAGAATTCCCTCTGTTGGTCTTTAAATTGGGTGTTCCAAGCACAGCATGGCCTTCTGAGGTTTTCCCAGATGTGGTCACATGTGGAGACTTTCTAGCTGGAGTCTTGATCATTGAATGCTTATGCTCATTATCTTTAGTAGCAGCTGAAAACCTAAACAGGACAGTGGAGTACAAGACCTGAGTGCTTGTGGCAAGTGTAAATTATGTCAAGCTTAGAAATAAAACCACTTTTCTATTGCTAGGCAGCTAAAGGGGCTCAATAAATACTGTTATTAGAATGAACTTCTCTTACATAAAAAACATGTTCTTGAAAGGGTATTGCTAAAGCAAATCATTTGTTAACTTCCATTATTTGTAAAATATGATTTTTGCATCTTTTGGTGTTCTAGTATTTACCAATGCCATTATAAAGGACAAATAATCCTGCAGACCTCAAGTTACATACAGTTCACCAGGAAATCTGATAGGCTTCCTTTCTCATCCTCCTCCTGGAGATAAGATGTCAGAAAGACAGAAGACTGCTCTGCCAGAGGAGTGATTATGTCTTCCTAGAAAAATATCACTAGAGTTGTACATAAATAAGTCCATTTTGTACTCATGGGAAATCACCATAAGTGTATTTTAGTGATTCTCTGATACAGACTTTTCCTACATATTAACATCTCTGAAATTGGGAAGTGCTTTATAATTGTTAACATGTCAATAGTTAACTGGCAGTGATTTTTCTTCATGGTTTATAAAATAAACCATGTGTCTAATAAAATACAAAAAACATCACATGTCTTCAATCAATGGTGTCTCAGATTCAACGAAAATCCAATTTAAAAAATAATATATATACATATATATAAAATGCATCAGGCCGTAAGTTCTATCCCTAGGAGGGCAAAAACAAAACAAAGCAACCAAAAAACAAAACCAACAAAAAAAACAACAAAAAAAAAACCCCAAAAAACAAAACCCAAACTGTGTTAGATAATCACACATGTTGGGAGTCACATGCAACAACTCTATATTAGATACTGCAATTGCTGTTATGAAAAGAAGAGAATAAAATTTCAATATTAGAAGGCACCTAAATATTTTAACCTGTGGGGATGATCACAGTTGAAGGGTAACCTTGATATCAGGAAAGGCATGGAAAATATAGGTATTAATGGGTCATGAGGTGGCTATGACACTGCAGTGCCTAGTGGATACTTTAGGAAGAGTCAATTTTACAGTTTACTGCATTGAGACTTGAGGTAGGAATTTAGCTTCACTCTTACAAGTACTGTGTGCTAACCAATTGCACCATTGGAGCTCCTAGTTCCACTTTCATATTTAAGTTAATGGAAAAATTTCTCTCTAGACATTTAAAAAAATTTTTTTTTAGTCGTTGATGGACTTTTATTCATTTATTTATATGCAGTGCTTAGGTTCGAACCCAGTGCCTCACACATGCTAGGCAAGTGCTCTACACTGAGCCACAACCCCAGCTCCTCTCGACATCTTTGATGGCATATATCAAGGTAATAAAATGAAGATTCTCATATACTTCATATTATATTTTCACTTTTTTTTTTTTTGGTAGGAGGGATTGAACCCAGGGGTGCTTAACACTGAGTCACATTCCCAGCCCCATTAAATTTTTTTTTAAATTTAGAAAAAGGGTCTTGCTAAGTTACTTAAGGCGTCACTAAGTTGCTGAGGCTGGCTTTGAACTTGAGATCCTCCTACCTTAGCCTCCCAAGCCATTGGGATTACAGGCTTGTGCCACTGTGCCTAGCTTGATCTTTACTTATTAATCAAAACTGAACTCAATTGTGAGACTAAGATTAGAACTTATAAATACTGCTGATCTTTCTCTTGTCCCTGGTCCTCTTTCTCATTTTTTTAATCTACATTAGGACATATTGGATAAAATCCAATTGAAATCTTACCCCTGATTAAATTTTGGAACAACCTCTTTACCTGACACTCATTTTAGCTGCTGAGAGAGGAGAGTGCTTGACTGACCCCTTCAGATACCTAGTGCTCCGACTTGCAGGGCCATGTGATTGGCCTTTTGAGCGCTGCTGGCTGATTGGTGTACAAGTCACAGAGAGTCTTCCTTTCGGAGGAACTGGAGTTACTACTCCTCCCTTATTGCCAGGCTGCTTCTGAAGAAAAAAATACATAACTTTTAAAAGTTTGGTCTCTCAAAGTGCAAAAGAGTGCTCCATTTATTCTGTTTCATGTCCATTTGTAACTCAACCTGACATCCTTTCCTTCCCCATTATATCATTTAAAAGAATTATTTTCTGTGTTACTAGGGCCTTGTGCATCCTAGGCTATCTGCTACTGAGCTACATTCCCAGTCTTTTTTTTTTTTTTTGGGGGGGGGGGGGGGGGGGGGGGGGACGCACAGGAAACCAGGGATTAAACTCAGGGGTAGTCAACCACATCTCCAACCCTTTTTTGTATTTTATTTAGAGACAGGTTCTGAGTTGCTTAGTGTCTCGCTCTTGCTGAGGCTGGCTTTGAACTTCCCATCCTCCCGCATCAGCCTACCGAGCAACTAGGATTATAGGTATGTGCCATCTTGCCCAGTGTGGAAAAGTATTTTTAATATATAATACATGCCATTAAAGCAAATAAATAAGAATGGACAAATCTATAGAAAAAAAGCCAATTATAAATATAAACATGTAACATCACATGACTAAAGAAATGATATTTCAGAAACTGAGCATGGTGGCATATATAATCCCAGTGACTTTGGAGACTGAGTCAGGAGGATGGCAAGTTAGAAACCAGCCTCAGCAACTTGGTGAGAACTTGTCTCAAAAAACAAAAAAGGGCTGGGGTATGGCTCAGTGGGTTCAATTCCTAGTATGGAATTGAATTAAATTAAAAATTTGATAATTCCTCTATTGGCAAAGTAAATAAGCACTTTCATGCATAAGTTTTTAGACATTTCTACAGGGCCATTTGATAAATTAAATGAAAGAAGGCTCCTTTTTTTTTTTTTTTTTTTTAAATATTTTAAAGTTGTTGATGGACCTTTATTTTATTTATTTGTATGTGGTGCTGAGGATTGAACCCAGTACCTCATGCATGCCAGGCAAGTGTGCTACCACTGAGCCACAACCCCAGCCGCCCCACAAGGCTCCTTTTTTTTTTTTTTAAATGGACATCACAGAAAGTTTGTTATGATCAGGTTGATTATCAATGCTTACTATTGTCCGTCACTATCCAATGACCAAGTCCCAAACATAACTTCATCTCAGCTAGGGTGAAGTCACTGTAGTTTTTTTTTTTTTTATTCTCCTGTCTTCAAATAGATCATACCAAATCCAATAGACCAATTCCCTAAACAATGGAGATGAAGGGTGGAATTTTAGAACTATACTCATTCAGATGGGGATATTAGGCTGGAGTTAAACTGAAAAATAAGATAAGCTACTCAATTCATTCAACACATTTCAAGGCAGTTGTTCCAACCTTAACTTTTGCCCAGAAAATTAACTCATCTCTACTATATAAAATAGAAAGTTTGTCAATCAAGGATTTAGTAGATCCAGTTTCACAGTAAAGAGACATTTGTGACATTTCCAGGCAGCTTTGCAGCCAGTTCACACCTATGCAAAAAAAGAAGCTGCATGTCTTCATGTAATGCCATAGGCATGAGCTTCATGTGCCAGTTTTTAATTTAGCCCTTGCTAATATGTAAGAAAGCTAATTATGAACATACTGAATATCTCTCCTGTGTTGTTTGCTAAAAGTTTGATAAACAAGTAACATTTCCCCCCCCCCTTTTCTTTTTGGTGGTACTAGGGATTGAACCCAGAGGTGCTCTACCACTAAGCTATATTCCCAATCCTTTTATTTATATTGAGACAAGGTCTTGTTAAATTAGCCAGGCTGGCCTCAAACTTTTGATCCTCCTGCCTCAGCTTCCTGAGGCACTGGGAGTTGCAGGGATTACAGGTGTATGCCACCACGCCTGGCAGCATTTTATAAATACTGTTGAAATAAATAAATAAATATATATATATATATATATATATATATATATATATATATTTTAACTAAGTTTTTCACCAAGAAGTTTATAATCCAGTGTGTCTCTTTTGGCCTAGTTGCCAGAAAACTCAAAACTCAGCAGTGATAGCAGTAGACATTGTTCTTGCTAATAGTGCTCATTTTCTGTTCCCCCACCACACTCCTTTTGCAATGTTGCGGTGGAACCCAGGCCTTGCACACACTAGGCAAATACTCTACTACTGAAGCCACATGTTCAGCCCTTTTAAATTGACTTTATACGGTTTTCTGATATGTGTAATACCACAAACTGCCTTAAATTCCTTTTGAGAAATAGGCAGGTTGTTATTTATATAAATCATAAATGTTTCTCAGTCCCCTATCTAGCACTTCCTTAACCTCAGATACCAGTAACATCAACTTCCTAGAATACTCTCAATTCACTATTCTCCTAACTCAATCTCAGGGTTGACTACATCACCTTCTCTTACTTGAAGGGCTCACTGAATCCAGTAGGGCTTGGACTAAAGACCCTTGAAGGAGCTGCTAGCATAGGTTAGCCACTATGCAGCACCCCATTTTCCTTTAGGTGAGAGAGAAGCAAAAGAAGATAGCTGCAGTCTACCCTCAATGAAAGTGAGGCAAAACCTATGAATGAATATAGAAGAACTCATTGCCACTGTAGAATACTTCCTCACAGTGAGGATATTTCTTCTAGAGGGTTTTGAAAATTCTCAGTGGAAGAAAGCAATATTAAGATAAAAGTATATTAAACTGGGTGTGGTGGTATGTAATTGTGATCCCAGGTACCTGGGAGGCTGACAGAAGGACTGAAAGTTCAAGGCCAGCCTTGGCAACTCAGTGAGACCCTGTTTCCAAATAAAATATAAAAAAAGCTGGGGATATAGCTCAGTGGTAGAGCACTTTCCTGGCATGTGCAAGGCCCTGGGTTCAATCCCCACACACAAAAAATAAACAAGATAAAAATATATTAAACCCAAACAAATCTATTCCACAGGCATAGTAATACAAAGCTGGATGTATTAACTGTGGCATTACATGCTTTTAAAATAAAACCAAGTAGCTTAATCCCATTAAAGCTGTGAATTTTTTTCTGCATACCTTCAGTTCATGAAAGGAGTTGTGGTCTTCAAAATGTTTCTTTTTTCTCTTAATATATTCATCAATGGACTCCATTTCCTTAAAACGAGCCTCATGAAGCTTCTTAAAATCTAGAATGAACCCCCCCAAATATGAAAATTAATAGAATTCCATTTATTCACCTTCCTTTTGCTTTTGGTGTTAATAATTATTCTCCTTGCATCCCTGACATTTAACTTCAGTATCATTTTTGCTAAATCTTTAATTTCAAAACACTTCAATTTTTGAAACTCACAGCAAAGCCTATTCATTTTATAAACTATCAAACATTCACAATCTCCCCGTTGTTCACTTTCCTGACATCTTGGTTTAAAGAAGAGAACAGATTTGTCTTTTCCCTAATTAATCAAATGACCTTTATTTAGTCATCACAAGTTTGATATTTGTTTTCTTCCTTTGGTGCTGGAGATTGAACCCAGGGCCTTATGAGTATTAAGTGTATATTGTATCACTAAACTGTACTCCCGACCCTCAAATATGTATTTTATTATGCTTGGAAAGCTCTATGTCAAGGACTGACAATTTTTCTGTTAAGAGACAGATAGTATTTTTGGCTTTGTGGCCAAATACAGTACAATCTCTATCTCATCTTCTTTTAAACTCTTTTTATAAATATGGAAAAACATTCTTAGCTCAAGAGATAAAAGGCAGGCAGACAGTAGAATGTTAACCCCTGCCCTATGCTATTCTAAATATGTATATAAATATTTGTTGAACTTCTAGTATATGATGAGCAATATTCTAACAACTATAAATACATGACACTAAGTCCACATTCTATGTACTAAGCAATGTTCCAGTAATACAAGATAAAGAAATACATGTCTAAAAAGAGTCCATCATATTTATTAGAAAGTTAATATACAGTGTACATTGTGTCGAGTACCTTGAAGAACTATTCATTCATCAGATATTTATCAATTCTCTGCTATATGCTATTCACTGTACTAGGTAATCAGTAATAAAAGTGATATTCTCAATCTATATATATAAACTTGATGAAATAGATAGTATAATTATTTCTACTTTATACCAATAAGTTGGTTTATTGAGAATAAGTCCGCCAAGATTTCAAGGCTAGAAAGCAAAAGTGGCAAAATATAAACCATGGTTCTAGCATCTGAACTTTTAGCTGCTACCATCCACTGCCTTTCCAATATTAGTTTAAAGTGGACCAACCACTCATTACCTTATGTTTCATTGTGTATAAACTTACTTGGAGTAGTGACTGTAGTTCTTTTATTGTTTCCAAGTTTGGAAAACCCATCTGTGTAGAGTGACTTTCTTTCTGAAGGTCCCTTTGAATCTTCATTGTCTAAATCCAAAGATACAGAACTAATGAAGGACTTTCTTTCCCCATTAATCTCTGTTGATTTGAATCACAAGATTTTTTAACTTACTAAAAAATGTATGTATGAGCCTAGTGATGTAGCTTAGTGGTAGAGCACTTGCTTAGCATGCATGAGGCCTTTGGTTCCATTCCTAGTACCTTAAAAAAAAAAAAGTAAAAAACCCCATGATTTTCTTGTCTGCTTCTGCATACATTATGCTATGATATGCCATTCTGTCTGAGGCATGTATGGAAAATATTTTGCCTCACAGAGATGTATGGTTAAAAAGGTAAGAGTATTTTAAGAGCCTGTTCAGATAATTATGGCTATTTTTCTTTGATATTATACCAGAACTTAATAAGTGGTAGTTTCTTAAAGTTCACAATGTGGAATATGAAGCTATTTCAATGAACTCTTTTGTTCTTTGTACATTTGTGCAAGAAAGTTCTTATGGTTTAAGAAACACACATTTAGGAGTAAAGGGGAAGATATATGCAACTTCTCAAACAATTCAGAAAAAAAGCCATATGCAACATATGTGTATATATACAGACACAGAGAAGGATAAGGCCAATGTGGTAAAATGTTAAACATTTGGGTGAATATAGAAACTTAGTACTATTCTTGCAAGTTTTCTCTAAATATGAAATTATATCAAAATAAGAAGTAAAAACAATTTCTTCTCCCCAGAACCTTCAAACTACTGTGTTTCAGCAGAGAAACCTATCTTACTGCCCATCTTCATTTTGTTCCCCCACCCCCAAGAACTGGGGATTGAAGCTAGGGGTATTCTACCACTGAGCTACAGCACTAGCCCATTTTAATTAATTAATTAATTTATTTATTTATGGGACTGGTGATTGAACCCAGGCCCTCATGCATGCTAGGCAAGCAGTCTACCTACTAAGCTACATCCCTAGGTCCCTTATTTTCATATTTTGAGACAAGGTCTTGCTAAGTCAACAGTGATTAATGGGGAAAAAAAGTCCTTCATTAGTTCTGTATCTTTGGATTTAGACAATGAAGATTTAAAGGGACCTTCAGAAAAGCTGGCCTGGAAATTATGACCCTCCAGTCTCAGCCTCCTAAGTAGTGAAATTGTAGATGTGTTCCATTGTGCCCCACCCTTCCTCATTTTTTCCAGGCCACCAAAATCAGATCCTGAGACTCTCACTGCCAACTCTGTCATTTCTTTCTTTTTGTAAATTATTTTTTAATTTGTAAATGGACACAATACCTTTACTTTTTTATTTTTTTAATATGGTGCTGAGGATCAAACCCAGTGCCTCACATGTGCGAGGCAAGTGCTCTGCCACTGAGCCATAATTCCAGCCCCAACTCTTGTCATTTCTTAAAATTTTGCTTTATATCATGATTTTAAAAATGGGCTATAAGGCACATGCATCAAAATGATCTGGGGAGGCTTGTTAAAAATTGGGCTGGACGTGTTGCTCAGTGGCAGAGTGCATGCTTAGCATTATGAAGGACCTGGGTTCAATCCCTAGTAAACCACCCCCCAACCAAACAAAAAATAAATAAATAAATAAAACAAACAAAACAGCTGGGCACAGTAGCACATGCCTGTATTCCCAGAGGCTCAGGAGGCCAAGGCAGGAGGAGCGCAGGTTCAAAGCCAGCCTTAGCAACTTAGACCCTAAGGAATTTATTGAGACCCTGTCTCAAAATAAAGGATAAAAAGGGCTCAGTTTGGTTCAGTGATTAAGGACCCCTGGGTTCAATCCCTGGTATCAAAAAACAGCAACAAAAAGAAACCAATAAACTCCTAGGCTCATCTCAGATCCATTAAATCAAAACCATTCTTCCTGCAATTTTCTAGGTTTAGTAAGACATTTGAAATTTGGGGGAAAATAGGAAGGCTGAGGATCAGATTTAGATGGCTGGTGAAAAAAGAAATGGAAATCATCTCAGTCCCTACACCGCTTCTCTGGCAAGGCTCAGGTCCAGGCAGGTTTATCAAGGTGAACCTAATGCTGAGATGCTCTGTGGCCAGTGGCAGCTTTCCTGACGAATGACAGAGAGCACAAAGTGCTATTAGGGGTGGAGGAACTGAGTTTTATAGTTTTACTGAAACAAATTGTTACCTGAAAAAATTTAGGGAAAAGGTTTTCAGGAAGTTAGACTTAGGAATATATTAATTTATCAGAGTAAAAAAGGCTATGCCACTTAGAAGGTAAACTTCACAACTCCCTGCTGGTTGAGGAGGCAAAACAGGTCTTTGAATTGGTCTCTGTACTTGGCTAGAGGAGGTAATGAGACTAAATGAGAGCTCTCCTGTCATGAAAAAGACATTAACTTCCCAGCTACCCCTCTTATTCTGGTTTCTATATCAGTTAGAGCTGGGGGTATAGCTCAGTGGTAGAATGCTTCCTACCATTCTGGGGTCCTGGAATTGGTTCTTAGTGTTAGAGGGGGGGGAAAAAAAAGGTAAAGATGATCTGATAAATCTGTATTTGGTTCTAACTTCTGCTTTAATTGCAGAACACTTAGAAGTTCTATAACATGGTACTATGGGTTGAACTTTAGACACCCCCCAAAAAAGATATGTTAAAGCCCTAACCCTTGGTATCTAATACCGCTTTCTAAATAACCTCTAGAGAAATGGGGTCTTTACAAATGTAATCAAGTTGAAGATGTGTGGGTGGATCATAACCCAGTATGATTGGTGTCTTTTAAAGAAGAGACAGAAAGAGAGAATGCCAAGTGTTGATAAAGGCAGAGACCAGAGAAATGCAGCAGAAGGCCAGGGAATACCAAGCATCAACAAGCCACCACAAGGTAGGAAGAGACAGGGCAGATAGCCATTGTTTCAGAAGGCTCTGCTGATAACTGATACATAGATTTTGGACTTCTAGCTCTCAGAACTATGAAATAAATTTCTGTTGTTCTAAGCCTCCCAGTTTGTTACAGCAATCCTAGGAAATTAATATGCACTTACCCCTAGCAATTTCCTTTTTTTTTTTTTTTTTTAAATACTTTTAGTTGTAGTTGGACACAATAACTTTATTTTTATGTAGTGCTGAGGATCGAACGCAGGATCTTGCATGTGCTAGGTGAGCACTCTACCACTGAGTAACATCCCCAGCCCCAGCAATTTCCTTTTTAAAAAATAGTCACTTGTCTGGGCTGGGGATGTGGCTCAAGTGGTAGCATGCTCGCCTGGCATGCATGCGGCCCGGGTCCGATCCTTAGCACCACATACAAACAAAGATGTTGTGTCCGCTGAAAACTAAAAAATAAATATTAAAAAATTCTCTCTCTCTCTTTAAAAAAAAAAAAAAAAGTCACTTGTCATACCATTCATCTCACTTTTTCCTGAGGAAACAACATTATCATCTCCTTGGCTCTGGTCTGGCAGAGAAGGAACTTTTGCAGTAGTTCCAAGATCCTGGTTTTTCTGCTTTTCTTGATTCTGGAATTCAGTATCATCACTCATTTTTACCTCAGAATGATCCTGCTACAAATTTTAAAAGGAAATAAACAATTTCATATTTAAATAAAAAGTAATTGCTGTCTTCTAAAGATAGTTACATAATGAGGGGAAGGGGGTTGGTTAAAAGAGTAAAGCAGAATTAAAAAAAAAAAAAGTTACTTTTTTTTTTTTTTTTAATATTTATTTATGGTGCTGGGGATTGAACCCAGGGCCTTATACATGCAAGGCAAGCACTTTCCCAACTGAGCTATATCCCCAGCCTTATTCATTCATTTATTTTTTAAAATATTTTTTTAGTTGTAGATGGATACCTTTATTTTATTTTTATGTGGTGCTGAGGATCAAACCCGTGCCCTCCACATGCAAGGTGCACACACTATCACTGAGCTACAACCCCAGCCCATCATTCATTTATTTTTATGTGGTGTTGAGAATTGAATCCAGTGCCTCACACGTGCTAGGCAAATACTCTACCACTGAGCTACAACCACAGCCCCAAGAATAAGACTTCTGAGTGGTAGATTTGGTTTTGTGCCTTATCCAGTGTCATGAGAATGTTAATTTGGGAATAGGAATTAGGGACCACTGGAAAGAATGGTTCTCTTATAAATGATAAACTAATGTAAGAGACCGAGGTACTCTACTGACCAAGGGACTATGTGAAGCCAGAAAATAAGAAATTAGGACTGTGTCTGGTAAAAGTTACATTTGAATGAAAGTATAGCTGGGTGTGGTGGTATATGCTTGTGATTCCAACTACTTGGGAGCCTGAGACAAGATGATCCCAAGGTCAAGGTCAGTCTCAGAACTTTATCAAGGCCCTAAGCAACTTAGGGAGATCCTATATCAAAATAAAAAGGGCTGGGTTGAGGCTCAGTGGTATAGTACCCCTAAGTTCAATCTCCAGTACCAAAAAAAAAAAAAAAGTAACTAAAACAGAGGGAAGCCCCTAGCTAGCCCCATAATCACACTATTGAAAGATTAAGTATAGCGTGATCAGTGGGAGGGCAAGCTAGGAAAGAGAACTTTAAAACCATACTCCCATGTTGGTTTCTCTTTCCTTCTTATTTACAACACCTCATTTAAGTGGTCACTTAATGAATATTCATATTTATTCAACAAATACTTAAATATTAAAAAAAAAAAGTATTAAATGTAAATTATTTTTTAGTTTTCGGCAGACACAACATCTTTGTTTGCATGTGGTGCTGAGGATTGAACCTGGGCCTCATGCATGCCAGGCAAGCGCGCTACCGCTTCAGCCACAGCCCCAGCCCTATATTTAATACTTAGTAATTTCTTCCTAAATGCTAGGGGTTTGGGGTACAATGATGAGCAGCCCCGACACAGGTCTGTGTTTTTGAAGAGCTGTTGCAGTATATGGTGAATTTCCAACCACCTGACCTCATAAGGGAATTAAAAGGAAAGCTAAGAATGCCAATTTTGGCAAACATGGTGGCTTTTGTTCAATCTGCACAGTTCTATTCACCTGAGAGTCAGGGTGCCCATGAACTGTCTTGCACCTCCTCCTTTTGGTGATATTGCCAATTGGCTCCCTGTTGGCTTGTTCATGACTGTTAATCTGTATCACAGTTTCATCCTTGGAGGATCCAGAAGTTTGACTTTCATCCTGAAAAGAGAAACATTAGTTTACTATGTTCCATTTACAGTATAAACTGATTTACCCAAGGCTTGTATATCAAGTCTTTTTATCCACCTAAGGTCTTTATTCACAGATTCATTACTTAGGAATCTGATATCTAACTGAATTTTGACTTTTACCTTGCTCAAAATGGAATGGCCCAAGATGTTGAATTTGAAATAGATCATTTTAATTTTTGGTCTATCAAGTACTTAACCATTGAGTCACATCCCCAGCCCTATTTCATATTTTATTTAGAGACAGGGTCTCACTGAGTTGCTTAGCACCTCACTTTTGCTGAGGCTGGCTTTGAACTCAGGATCCTCCTGTCTTAGCCTCCTGAGCCACTGGGATTACAGGTGTGTGCCACCATGCTCAGGGATATAGAAACTTTTTTTTTTTAAATATATTTTTAGTTGTAGATGGATACAATACCTTAATTTTGTTTATGTATCTTTATGTGATGCTGAGGATCGAACCCTGTGGCAAGTGGTCTACCACTGAGTCACAGCTCCATACCACCAGATCTAGCAACTTTTTAAAGTTCTTTTTTATTTTTTTATTTTTTCTTGCAGTGCTGGGAATGGAACCCAGGGCCTTGTCCATGATAGTCAAAAGTTGAATCATTTGGCTACACCCCCAGCCCTTATACCTGAATTCAAAATAAATTCTTATGGCTGGGGCTATAGCTCAGTGGTAGAGTATTTGCTTAGCATGCATATGGCTCTATCCCCAGCACAACATGGACATGCATGGAAAAAGGAAATTAGAATACTGAAAGTTTTCAAATGTTTATAAATTGGAATATGGACTTGCAGAGATTGTAAAGACAGAGGAGAAAGTTCAATATTTAGTTCATGTTTATATTTACCTTCATTTCTAAATATATAATTAATTTTTTTGTCTATCAGTAGTTGACCAAGGCTCCAATTAAAGCCTTGTAACATTTTCTTCAATTTCACTTTTCTTTTTTAAATTTCCTCCAATTTCAAGTTGAGAATCCTGGCCACTGATCTATTTAGGTGTCATGCCTTATCAAGTCTTCATTATAGGAATGAAGCAGCCATGACAACTCTCCCATCAGCAGTGTTTTATATGTTATATAAGTCATTTTCACAGCACCTAATTAATTTGCTTTTTGCAACACTCAATTTAGCAGCACACAAAGGAATTTGAGTTTTTCAAGAAAGGAGAACTGCTACGTAAGCTGGGTCTTTCTGATTTTAAATTTAGTTCCCTCCCTACTTATCCCATGCTAACTTTCATAATATTTGGCAAGTAGTAATTAACTTTTGCGTTTGTATAGGGACACTTTATTTAACAATTTATATGCCTGCCTAAGACAGTTTTATCATTTTAACAAATAACTATGAAAAGATAGTCACAGGCACAATTGTCAAAAATGATCTCTAGTTAAAAAAAAAAACAGCATGTTTTAAATCATCACTAATTACTATTAACTGCTCAGTAAGTAAACATAATTTAGTTAGGTGGTGGTGAAAAACATTACTTACCTGATTCTTATTTTCTTTTCTTTCTTCATGTTTAAGATGGGCTTTTAAGGCTTTTAACAACTTGTCTGCCTGCAGAAAAAATCCTCATCATTAGGGCGAAAAGTCAAATGAGTAAGAAAGATGTGCTGAACATTTTTGTTCTTCCTTTTATATTCACTAAATATACTCTGATTAGGCTAGAAGACTAGAATTATGACCTGGATAAATTGGCCCCTACCCACAAGGATTTCATACCCTAGTGTCAAAGAAAACTGCAAATGTAATATAGAGAGATAAATGCCCCAAAGAACAAAAATGGGCTTAGCCATAAAAATCTGGAATGTCAGGGAAGACTTTAGCAGGTAACTGGACACACTGGTTTTAAGATCAAAATGTGCTGGTTCAGGCTGCTGAGATCAGGAGGCTAGAGAGAACTAGATATAGAAAAACTAATAGAGAAATAGCACGGGAAGGCAACAAGGTGGAGTTTCAAGAATTAAATTCAGCATGGGTGGAGCATACTCTTGGTGAGGATGGAGAGAAAGTTGGGAAAGGGCTTGATCTCTCTAGGCCTGCCTTTTAAGCCTCCTAAGCATGTGAACTTTAGGGGGTTGGGATATAGGTCAGTAATAGAGCATTTGCCTAGCACATGCAAGGCCTTGGATTTATCTTCAGCACAAATAAAAACAAAAACAAGAAGAGTATGAACTTTACCCTTGAGGCAAAGGGCAGTCTCTGAAGTGCTAGAAGCAAGGCAATGTTGAATCAGAGTCCCTTTAAAATTAAAAGCCCCTAAATGAGTTTTTTACTTCCCTTTTCTGGCGAAAGTTACTTTTTAAATCCTCATGCTGAGAATGGAAACTGAGAAACTGGCCCCCAAAGTCTGGGAAGACACAAGCAAGGATTGGAAACTGGAATTGTGTGACTAGTACAACTTAGCTAAATCTACATATGTACATTTTCTGGCTTTCATTTCTATGAATCAAAACTGCTACTGTATGGCAGGCGAAGAAAGCTACCTTCCCAGTTTTGGTCAAATTACAATTAAATTCATTTTTCCTTTTTATGTTGTTTTCTCATGTGTGCAGATGACTGAATCCAGTCCTTTGCAACCACATCAGGCTCTGGCCTGGAGTGCTGGTAACACTGAGTGACCAATTTTGCATCATTCAGAATGATCACTTTGGCCACAAAATGTGCAGGATTCACTTGAAGGAGATAAGACTGAAGACAGGAAAACACAGCTAGGAGACTATTTTAGGAAAACAGGTGACTGTGGCCTGAACAGCAGGGCTAAATGGCAGTAGGGATACATGCAAAACACTTTTTTAAAATATATTTATTTTTTAGTTTTAGTTGGACACAATATCTTTATTGTATGTGTATGTGGTGCTGAGGATCGAACCCAGTGCTCACACAGGCTAGGCGAGCACTCTAGCACTGAGCCACAATCCTAGCCCTGCAAAACACTTAAGAAGTAAAATCAGGGCTGGGGCTGGGGCTCAACAGTAGAGCGCTGGGTTGGATCCTCAGCACCACATAAAAATAAATAAAATAAAGGTATTGTGTCCAACTAAAAAAAAAAAAAAAAGAAGAAGAAGAAGTAAAATCAGTGCAAACATGAGTCAAAGAATAGGCAAATTTTATTGTGCCCAGGTGGGGGTCCCTAAAATGGAAAATGCAAAAGATGCCAGTCTTGGAGAAGAGGATAGGCATAGTTATCTAGGGGAGAGGAAACCCCTAGCTTCTCTTCACTCTAGGAAATATTTCCTTTTTAAAATTTATTTTTTAGTTGTAGTTGGACACAATATCTTATTTATTGTTTTTTTTTTTTTGTGGTGCTGAGGATCAAACCCAGGGCCCCAAACGTGATGGGCGAACTACCCCAGCCCCTTAAAAAAATTAAATAAATAAATTACATATATATTCTTCCCCACCCCAACCTCTTCCATATAACCTAAGCAGTTGAGATGTTGTGTCCACCTACAACTAAAAAAATATATATTTTTAGTTGTAGGTGGACACAACATCTTTATTTTTACATAGTGCTGAGGATTGAACCCAGTGCCTCACAGTGCTAGGTAAGCACCCTACCACTGAGCTACAACCCCAGCCCGTCCCTTGTTATTTTCTTTTTTTTTTTTTTTCAAATATTCTAGGCCACAGATTCACAATGCCTTTATTTCATTCATTTATTTTTATATGGTGCTGAGGATTGAACCCTGTGCCCCACTCGTGCTAGGCAAGCACCACTGAGCTACAATTCCAGCTCCCTTGTCTTTTCTGAAAGAAGAATACTAATCTGAGTGGATATTCCAGGCTTTGAAAGATCAAGTGTATTGACTGGATTCTTCCCCACCCCCAACCTCTTCCATATAACCTAAGCAGTTGAAGGCTAGAGATTTCCTTTTTAAGGTGGATCCAGACACTGGGCTGGGCTCTTTTTTCCTTTCCAGAAGTACTGGGGAGTGAACCCAGAGGTGCTTTACCAATGAGCTACACCTCCATCCCTTTTTATTTTTTGAGATAGGGTCTAGCTAAGTTGCCCAGGCTGGCCTTGAATTTGCCATTCTCCTGCCTCAGTCTCCCAAGTAGCTGAGATTATAGACCTCAGCCACACTGCCTATTTTTGTTTTTGCAGTACTGGGTACTGAACCCAGGGCCTCATGTATGCTAGGCAAGTGTACATCCTGACTCCTTTTTTATTTTGAAACAGGGTTTCATTAAATTGCCCAGGTTGATATTAATTTGCAATCCTCTGACAAAGCTTTCCAAATAACTGAAATTACAGCTGTGTACACCCATATCTGGCTTCCCATTCTTTTCACACCATTTAAAATCACCCATGTTTAAAAAAAAAAGACAGAGATCCTGAAATTTGGTTTGGGCTTTAGTGTGCAGGAAAGTTTTTGCTTAGGGTATAAGCTACATCCTCCAACCCCCCACCCAAATACCAGAATACTGGGCTTTGAGACAGCAGCAGACACCATTCCAACAAGTAATAAAGTAGTATCTTTTTTTAAATTTTATTTTATTTAATTTTTTTAAGAGGAGAGAAAGAGAAAGAGAGAGAGAGAGAGAGAGAGAGAGAGAATTTTAATGTTTATTTTTCAGTTTTCGGCAGACACAACATCTTGTATGTGGTGCTAAGGATCGAACCTGGGCCGCACACATGCCAGGCGAGCGCGCTACCGCTTGAGCTACCTCTCCAGCCCATAAAGTAGTATCTTAATTTTCTCTGGGAAGGGGGTGATTGGCAGAGTTAAGGTATTTTTGCTTCTGTGATTCTAACCTTTCTTAACATACCATGAAAACCTCACCAAACATGCAACATTGATGAAGTTAGCTACATAAAGCAGAGTCAAGTGAGGATATCTAGGTTAAATGGTATAAGGTGATGCTCAAGAACTGTGCTGGAAGTAGAGATGTTAGTTTTCAGCATTTAGTCATGCTTTCCTTCAATAGCATTATTGTAATGGATGCTGTTCTATGCACTAGAGAGACTGGTGAACAAAACAGATAAGGTCTCTTGACATCCAGGAGATTACAGCAGTAAACTAGCATGCAAATGGCCTGTTAACCAAGTAAGCTAGAAATAAATGATAGGTTATCACGTGCTATAAGGCAAAATCAATATACTGGGTAACTGGGATAGCGTGGTGGTACAGCCTGAGTTAGGAAGGTCAGCAAAGTCCTCTCTGAGGTGGTAGTGAGCTGAGATGTGAATGAAGACGCAGCAAATAAAGCATTCTAAGTTGAACACTGGGGTGAGTTAGAGGGAAGGGAAATCAAAGAGGTGACCAGAGAGAATATTTTCTTAATGTCATCTAATATATAGTCCATAATGAATTTCCTTATTGACAATTTTAGTTGTTTTCTTAAAAAAAAAAAAAATCCCTTAAAATCAGGATGAAACCAAATTTCTTTCATTACATTTGGAAGATTTTGGATTTTATGTTAGATGTGAGAGAACTGAAAAATCACTAAGCAGAAAAAATAACATGTTCAGTTTCAAATACCACTCTGACTACAAAGAAGTGAGAGTAGAGGCAGAACCTAATAGGAAGAATGGGACCCTGGTTGTCAGCCAAGAGTGCTGTGACCCAGGACTGTACACAAAGGTCAGATTTTAGGTGTAGTTGAGAGTGCTGAGAAGGATGGGTGGGTGTGTGCAATGAAGGGAGGAATCAAGGGTGGTCCAAGTGTGCCTGAGATGGGAAGGTCATCAGTTTTGGGAACTGATTGTGCTGTGGAAGATGCACTTACATATGTGAATTCACAACTCAGGGGAGAAATCCTCCAGGAAATGTAGATGCATTTGTTTCTAGATGAATTTAAAATTGTGGGAGAAGACCACCAAAAGAGAGAGAATCCTGGGGCACTCTATATTTAGGTATCTGACAGAGTAAAAAACAGCCCAGGAGACTATAAAAAATAAAGGAGAAAATTATAAAGAACCAGTCTAGGAAAAAAAATTGGCTTGAGCAGAGGGGAGTGTTCTACCATGCCAAAATCTATTGGTAGGCAGGTTGAGACCAGAAATGGACCAAGTTTTGTAGACGGTGGCTCTACTATGGTAAATTTCAGTAGAACAGAACAGAAAAATGGGGCAGTAGATGAGAGAAGGAGTTGGGGTTAAGGAAGGATTTTTCTTTTTTTAAAGATGGGTGAAAAAAAATTGATGGGTGATACTAAGAAAGATCTTATGTAGTATGGTATCGAGCCAGCAGAATTGGAAAAAGCAAAGCAGGAGGGAGTACTAATTATAGGAGTATAGTCCTAGAGGAGGCCAGAGGGCCCCTGAAAGCTTAAGTAGAAAGATTGCCCACAGGTATTAGTCTTTTACTAGAATGGGAAGGAGGGGAGCATAGGCAGTGTGTAAAGGTGCAGGCTGACTGGAGGGTTTGGTGCTGCAAAGATGGGTAATTCTTTGCTGACTGCATCCATTTCCCCAGGACCTAAGAGGAAAAATTACCAAGGGAAGAAAGGGAATCAATTTGAGGAGGGAAAATAGGAAATAATTCTCCTCAAAAGTGAGACTGTTTTCCAGTACTGCAGGGAAAAAAAAAAAAAAAGTGAAAGTTAATGAGTACTACGAATGTACAGGAGGGGCTGAGGCTGTAGCTCAGTGGCAGAGAGTTTGCCTAGTACCTATGAGACACTGGGTTTGATCCTTAGCACTGCATAAAAATAAAATAAAGGCACCTAGTTCCCCTCTCTCTTTCCTGTCCATCTACAACTACAAAAACAAAAAACTATTTAAAAGAAAAAAAAAAAAAAGAATGTACGGTTGGATCAAATGCCAATTTTTAGATTCACATAGGAATCACATAGGAGGACTGAGTTCAAAGCCAGCCTCAGCAATTTAGCAAGGCCCTAAGCAACTCTGTAAGACCCTGTCTCTAAATAAAATATAAAAAGGGTTGGGGATGTGGCTCAATGGTTAAGCACCCCTGGGTTCAATCCCCAGTACCAAAAAAAAAAAAAAAAAAAACAAAGGAGAAAGATTTATAATAAAAAAAAATAAATAAAGTTTAGAGTGGGGGCTGGGGTTGTGGCTCAGCGGTAGAGTGCTCATCTAGCTTGTGTGAGGCCCTGGGTTCGATCCTCAGCACCACATTAAAAATAAATAAAGTTCAATCAACAAAGTTTTTTCTCTAGTCAAGGTCAGCTGCATAAGTAGAGGCAGATTAAGATTAAAGAGGCAGATTAAACAGCTGAGTTTAATTAGGCTTGGGTTTTGCCAGGTGAGTAGAGAGGTCTAAAGAAATAGAAAATAGTGTTGTTCTTCATAATTTAACTTTACAAGAGGGAAGAGAGAGCATAGTGAGAAAAGGACCATGGCCACAAATATTAGTAACCGACTCCTTTCTTTTGCTTTACCATTAAGCAAAGCATCTCAAAAGAGCGAGCCAATATTTTCTAAATTTATTTTTAATGACATTATACTGGTAGAATTTATTTAAATAATATTTTTTGGAGGGGGGCATCAGAGATTGAACCCAGGGGCACTTTACCATTGAGCCACATCCACATCCTTTTTTTTCTCTTAATCTTTTTTTGAGACAGGGTCTCACTAAGTTGCTGAGACTAGCTTTGAATTTGAAATCCTCCTGCCTCAGACCCCTGAGTCGCTGGGATTACAGACGTGCATCATCATGCCTGGCAAGTTTAATCAAATCTTAATTATTTCTAAAGCAATTTATTAATCTTTTTCTGCTATTTGTAATTTTAAAAGGCAATTGATTCAATGAGCTCTTGGGCAATATTTCAAACATGGTAAAAAGAATAGTATAATGAACCCCCATGTATCTGTTACTAGTTTCCAAAATTATCAACATTTTGTTGTTATTATTTCACCTAGTTCCCCCTCTATTTTTTTCGGGAGCATTTTACAGGCTTCATAACATTTCACATGGAAATACTTGGGCTGGACCTGTTGGTGCAGGCCTGCAATCCTACTGGCTCTGAAGGCTGGGGCAAGAGGATCATAAATTCAAGTTCAAAGCCAGCCTCAGCAATTTAGTGGTTAATCGCCCCTGGGTTCAATCCCTGGTACAAAAAAAGAAAGAAAGAAAAACACTTCACTTGGTATGTATTCTAAGAGATAGGTTTTTGTTTTGTTTTTTAAAAAGAAACATAACCATTGAACCATTATCATATTGATCAAAATAAATATGGTTATATAATTTAATACCTAGCCCAAATTCAGTTTTCCTTAAGGGTCTCAATTTCTTCTTACAGTTGATTATAATAAAGCTTTGAATGATCAGATTTGTCCAGGAAATAGGACATTCTAATAAATATTTATCAATAACTACAATGTGCCAGATATTGTGTGCTAGGCAAGCAATGGGATCTATGATAACAAGAAATAACCCTACTTCTAAAAAAACAGCAATTAATTGGCTATTCTAGATCAGGTGCCTCAAGAGACAATGATGGTAAAACTTTCAGAAAAAAATCTAGCTCTTTAGATATTCAATGATTAATGAGGCCTTAAATGTTAGCCAGAGCTCTAAACTCAGGTGAAAAGCCTCCTCAAAATTCTTTCCAACCAAACTATCTTCCAGTGTATTATTCTAGTACTGCCAAGAAGCAGTTGTAAAGAAGTTTTGAATAATTATCCAGCATCTCCTACATAAAATGTACTGCATTAGTGCTATAAAGACTTCCAAGGTGGATAGATGAAACCACTGTTCAAGCAATTTATAAAAAAAAATACAATGCACAAATAACCAGATTGCAAGACGTAGCCCAGCAAATCTTCAAAAACAACACTTGAAAATAAACTGCTTTAAAAGTATTCCCATGATTGCTGGAGTAGGGAACTTGTAGCCAAGGAAATGAAGAATAGGGGACCAGGAGCCACATCAGGATAATATTTCCATTAAACTGTGAAAGGCAACTGAGAAGTATTTATGCAGATGAAGAAGAGAAAATGAAATATGAGGTCAAAGGGTCAAAATGAGAAATTACACAGATGGGCAAGGGTGCCAAGTGTTTAGGGATACAGCCTTGGATACAAATGATTCCAGAGGGATAGCAAAAAGCCTACTGGATTTAAGTTAAGGAATTAAGGCTTTATTCACCAAGTATTGAAGAGCAATTAAACGCTATAGCCCAGAAACTTTCCCAGAGACACTTCTTTAACACTCAGACATACCAAAGAGATACCTGGACCATGATTATTCTATTTAAACCATTTAAAAACATTTGTGATAACTGGTTTAGACATTCATCCAATTTTAATTGTTGGCATCTTACAGAACAAATCTCTGGAGTATTAGCATTGTATGGGAAATCTCAAATTATAAAATTCCAGTCCCAAACTGAATCCCCATATTTTTTCCCCAAGCCTTGCAGACTCAGAATCAAAAACTTTATCGGTTTTGAAGAGAACACCACTGACAATAGTGATCAATTAAAGAAAGAGCATATAAGATCAGGGACTAACGATAAAATTTTATCCAAAAGAGGGCGTGGTATCGCATGCCTGTAATCACAGCTATTTGGAAGACTGAGGCAGGAGGATTACAAATTCGAGGCCAGCCTCAGGAATTTAGCGAGACCCTCAGCAACTTAGTGAAACCCTGTCTCAAAAAAAAAAAAAACATAAAAAGGAATGGGGACGTAGCTCAGTAATTAAGCTCCCCAGTGCCAAAATAAATAATTATTCACGAGAGTGGTCCTCTAAAAGTCATTCTTTCGGTCAGGTCCTCCAATAAATTATCAAAAGATTATGGGTACTACTGTAGAGTTTTACAGAAGCAGAGCTAATTATTTCTTCAACTGGCATTAAGACAACCTTGCACTTTCTGGGACTGTTTCATAATACCTGGGAAATATCAGAGTACTTTAAATAAAACCGAACCAATCCAAACCAGCCCTTTGGAGCAAAGGCCCACGTGAGTCCTCAAAAAAAGCAGCTTCGAATAATAAGTGACAACTATTGCTCCTTTTCCATTTTGCAGAGTTTTAACCACCGGGAACCAAATCTCATGCTCCAGGGAAAGGACTGGGCCTCATCCCGGGGGCACGAGTTTGGACCCTTTTGCGCCTTCTCTCTATCAGGCTCTAATTCCTACCCGCCCGCCCAACCGCCGGCACCGCAAGCCCCATACCCTCAGGTTAGCCCGGAGGCCCAGACGCTTGGCTAAGTTCTGCAGGTCACTGTACTTGAAGGAGTCCAGCTCCTCCGCAGAAGGGACGGTCATCGCGTTCTACAATCCAACTGGAGAAGCGCAGAGGGTCAGTCAGCTAACGTAAACTACACCGTTCAAAACTCTGGCGCCACTCTAGGCGTTGGCCCAGTAGACCTTTATAGTTCGTTTAAACGAAGAACGCTGCACTTCCATTGGTTGAAAATGCCTCGAAGGCGGGGTTTCTTACGCTGACCAATAGAAAAACTGATTTTCCACTGGCGCACGCTCCACCCTTCACCTCTCCAATACCGCGAAGGCGGAAGGCCCTAGGGGCTCGTCCAAGCTACAGGTGAGCTGTGGAGCGCACCGCTCACAGGGTCTACTGAGGACGCGGGGGTGACGCTTGGAGCAGAGTTTGGTGCGAGATTGAAAGAGGAGACCGCAGCAGGAAGATGGCGGCTTGGCCGCGGCGGCATCGGTTTCGTTGTGCAGAAGTGTCCCGAGGTGATTTTTGTGACGGCGCTAAGGAGGTGATCGACGAATCCTCTTTTACCACCTCCATGGAGTGGGACACACAGGTGGTGGAGGGGTCCTCGCCGCTCGGTCCGACGAAATGTGGGGCGAAAGAACACCCAATCAGCCCGCTGCTGCCGTCGTGGCTGCAGCCCGAGAGATGCGCGGTGTTCCAGTGCGCGCAATGCCACTCTGTGCTGGCGGATTCAGTGCACCTCGCCTGGGACCTGTCGCGTTCCCTTGGGGCCGTGGTCTTCTCCAGTAAGTTGGAGGGCGGCTTCTGGAGAAGTCTGGGACGGGCTAGCAGAAAACTCGCTGGAAAGGAAACAGGATGTAGATTTGGAAAGAAATTTGCCCCTTGGGACGGAGGGTGGGGGTGGTTTACGGAGGGTGGGGGTGGTTTTCGTGGTTTTGTTTTTTATCCCCCCGGTTTTAAATTTTTTTCCCGTCCCAGTCGCTGGGGCTGGAAAAGAGGGCTTCGCGCTTGCTAGTCAAACGCTCTAAAACCGAGCCAGGCCTCCTTTCTTGGTGTCCGCCCCCAGCGCTACTATGAGTCTGACCAGGAGGGAGGTTTTCCTTTTCAAGGCCCTCACAAGTTCAAGTTGTGACCCGTGTTTTTCGTTTTAGGAGTCACAAATAACGTCATTTTGGAAGCACCCTTCCTGGTTGGCATTGAAGGTTCGCTTAAATGCAGGTGTGTACCGAGAATTACTGATGGTTTTCTAGAAACAAATTGTATACTGTCCGAGGAGTATACCATTTGTTCCGATAAAGTTTATTATGTTCATACAGTATAATCAAATGATAGAATGTTTCTTTTACTTGTTTGACACACCTGTAAGAACTTGTTGTATTATGAAACGAAGAAGATTTTTGTGTAGTTTTAAAAATCTTTCTGAGGTCCACATTCCTAGTGTTATATACAAATGAAGTGAGGCTAAAAAAAGATGTCTTTTTAAAAATATTCAATCTTAAGTGTTAGGTGGACACAATATCTTTATTTTACATTTATGTGGTGTTGAGAATCTAACCCATGCTAGACGGGTACTCTACCACTGAGCCATAACCCCACCCCAAAAGGTGTGTTTTATAGTGGAAAATTTTGGTTTATAGTGAAAATAATTTATGAACTACAATCCTTTAGGTTACCAAGACTTCAAGTTTGTATTTAACATGGAATTTGTAATAAATCATGGCAGGATTCAGTGATTTCAGAAATTGGGAGAGAAAAAAAAAAAAAAACAAGGTGATTATTAAGTACTTGAATGCTGTATGACTTACAAGTGACAATCAAGTACTCAGTGAATTTATTATTAAAATAAGGCTCCAAAAATTTGAATATTGGCCTTTGACAGAAAGACAATTCATTCCTTTTATTTCTTTTTATTTTTTAAAGTACTAGGGGTTGAACCCAGACTCTACCACTGAGCTACATCCCCAGCCCTTTTTATTTTTTGTTTTGGAACAGGGTCTAGCTAAGTTGTCCAGGCTGGCCTAGAATTTAGCTGGGATTACAGGGGTGGGCCACTCCACCTGGGATTACAGGGCTGAACCACTGCACCTGACTTCCAAAGGTTGCTTCTCTACCAAATTTTATTATTCTGTTACTGGTGGAAGATTTAATGTAACTAATTTCAGTAAGCATTATTGTATTACAGTCTTAGCACTTAAAAATAGCATTGTTATGCTGAATTTTTGTTATGCTCAACAGTAATATTTACTTTGTGGAATTTTGCTTATATTGGTTATAAGTAAAATATTTCTTTTTAAATTGTTTTTGCAAATTTAAACAGAAGTGAACAGTATAATGAACCCATGTATTACCAGTCACTAAATGAGGACAGTTAGCAAATCATGGCCAATCATGTTTTATCTATAATCATACCTACCCCTCCTTAATGTTTTTAAGTACATATCTGAAATTATATCATTCCATTCATAAATATTTTTGTAAGAATCTTTATAAGATAATAACACTTTTTGTTTTTAAAAGATATAACCTAATTCCCAGGAAAGTATATTACTAAACTACCCTTTTTTTTTTTTTTTTTTAGTTGTAGATGGACACAATATCCTTAATTAATTAATTAATTAATTTTTTTATATGGTGCTGAGTATCATACTGGTGCCTCATACATATAGGCAAGTGCTCTACCTAGCCTGTAAACTACTTTTTAAAATAAGCTAAAATAGGCATTCAGTAGTGTTTGTAGATTGACTCTTTTTTTTTTTTTTTTTGAGAGAGAGAGAGAGAGAGAGAATTTTTAATATTTATTTTTTCAGCTTTTGGTGGACACAACATCTTTATTTTATGTGGTGTTGAGGATCGAACCCAGCGCCCCGCACATGGCAGGCGAGCGAGTAAATGAGCATTTTCTCTTTAATCTTTTTAAAAAATTAGAACTTTATAGTTATACATAGTAGTTGGGTTCCTTATTATGGAGAAATTTTAAAATACTTCAAATACTGTAATAATTCCCATGTACCCATTACCCAGTTTCAACATTTACCAATATTTTGACAATTTGGGCTGGGGAATATAGCTCAGTTGGTGGAGTGCTTGCCTTGCATGCACAAAGCCATGGGTTCAATCTCCAGTACCACACACACACACAAAAAAAAAATATATATATATATATATAGAGAGAGAGAGAGAGAGAGAATTTTATTTTATCTGTATTCTTCATTTTTTATTTATCTTGGAGTATTTATTTATTTATTTATTTGATACTAGAGATTGAACACAGAGGTACTTTACCGTTAAGCTAAATCCTTAGTACTTTTTATTTATTTATTTTTATCTTTAGACAGGGTTTTACTAAGTTGCTGAACCTGGCATCCAACTTATGATCTTCTTTCTCAGTCTTCCCAGTGGCTGGGATTACAAGCATATACCACCGGGCCCAATCTATGGAGTGTTTTAAAACAAATCAGAGAACTCATTAATATGTACAATTATAATGCACTCATTAAAATATGTGGAAAAAAAATCAGACAATTGATCAACTTTTATGGTGCTGGAGGTATAGTTCAGTGATAAGAGATATGTGCAAGGGAAATACAACCTGCAAAAAAAAAAAAAAGAATTTAAAATACAAAAATAAATTGAATGTTTCAGTGTTAATCTCATTAGTTAGCTTCCTCCCCCCCCCTCGATAAATTACCTATCTCAGAGTTATATATCCTTAATTGCTTTAATGGACGAATCCATGAAGGTTTCTGTAATTTAGAGTATAATTATATTAAAACCTGAGTTACCCTTTCTTGGATGTGACATTGTTTCAGTCTCATTCCTATTATAACATAAATTTCTCTTGTGTCTTAAGTGATAGAAATGCTTCCAGAGACTTATTTATTTTGATTTGTTCTGTGATTTTCTTTCTTACCTATTTTGTGTTTTCCCTCCTAGCACTTACAACCTTTTATTCTGTGGTTCCTGTGAAATTCCCATTGGTTTCCATCTATATTCCACCCATGCTGCTTTGGCTGCCTTGAGAGGTCACTTCTGCCTTTCCAGTGATAAAATGGTGTGGTAAGTAGATATAGATATTGTTTATCAAAAAATAAAGATTAAAAAAATATGTATTTATTTATTTTTGAGCATAAAACAGTAAAATATATTCAAGTGAATTTATTAAGCAGGGAAAGAGAAAACCCAATAGGGGTTGCCTTCAAATAAATTTTAAAAGATCTTTTGGAAAAGACAAAGTATTTGTACTCAAGAAGATGCTAAAGCCAAGCACTCTTATAAAAAAAAAAGTAGTAGTACGGGGCTGGGGATGTGGCTCAAGCGGTAGCGCGCTCGCCTGGCATGTGTGCGGCCCGGGTTCAATTCTCAGCACCACATACAAACAAAGATGTTATGTCCGCCGATAACTAAAAGTAAATAAATATTAAAAATTTAAAAAAAAAAAAAAAAGTAGTAGAACAAAAATATAATCTTATAACATTAAGATGATTTTAGATGTTTTCTAATCATACCATGTCTTCATAGTGGTACCATAGAATAATTCAGAAGCTATTCTTTCAATAAACAAAATTCAGGAAGGCAAGCTTTTGCCATAGATACCTTTTGGGTTTGTGCCCTTGCCCATCTCCCTCCCATAGGGTGGGACCTTGTCATCATATTTGTCTCATGCAAGACACCACTCACATGTATAGGATTTTTTACCTGACCCAAATAAACCATATTTTCTACTCTAGGAATTTGAAATATGGGCACTTGTCACTTGTAGATGGTGCTGAAGTTGAAAAGCGAAAGCTCTTAAGTTGTGATAGGTTTTTCAACATTATACATGTAGATGCAGAGAAATCTGCTGAAAAAGAATAATGAAACAGATGCACGAAGAAAAGTAAAAGTAGCGATCACAGGGTCTCCTAGGACTTGAAAAAGTACCTATTTGCTGTTATTTCTCATAAATTACATTAGGTATTTCTTTATCTTAGTAAATTGAACCTTTTAATTTAGCTTTTTTGTTTATTACAAGAAACTGAAATATACATCAAAGTCTTTTCTTAACCACTAAGCAACAACAACTACTGATAGCCTGGTTTCTGCCAGGCATTATACTTACCTAATTGAGTTCTTATTATAAGAAAACTAG